CGTCACCATTTATATGAAGGGTTGAAAACTAAGTGTTTAATTATAAAAGACCCTCTTGTTCTTTGGAACAGTTTAAAAGAAAAGTATGACAATCAAAAAATTGTAATTCTTACAAAAGCTCATTATAATTGGATGCATTTACATTTGCAAGATTTTAAATCTGAGTGAATATAACTTTGTAATTTTTAAAATCAGTTTTCAATTAAAATTATGTGAAGAAGAAGTCACTGATGATGATATGTTGGAAAAAACATTCTCCACATTTCATGTATCCAATGTGCTCTTGCAGTAGCAATATAATGAAAAAGGTTTTAAAAAATATTTTGAATTGATTTCTTATCTTTTTGTGGCTGAATAAAATAACAAGATTTTAATGAAAAATCATGAATCTCATCTAACTGGTTCTACCCCATTCCTTGAAGTGAATGCAGTGCCAAATGAATCAGCTCAGGGTTTTGGTTGTGGTCATGGCCATAGCAATGGATGAGGTTATGGTGTGGCTGTAGCTATGGTCGTGGTCGTGGTAGTACATCTTTCCACCAGAAGTGGACAAATAATAAAGAGAAACACAATAAAGGAATAAGTGGGGATAATAATAATAATAATAATAATAATACTAAAAATTTATGCTACCATCGTGGTGGTAAAGTTCATTGGTCACATACCTTTCGTACTCTAAAATATTCGATTGATCTTTACCAAGAATCACTTGAAAGTAAAAGTAAAAACAAAGGCAAAGATAAAAGCACATTTTGCTTCTGAAGAAGGTGATTCTGATTATGGTGACATGGATGTTACTTATTTAGATGTTTCTAATTTTTTTGCCGATCCTAATGGAAGAATTGATCACCTGATTGGAGATGGAAATGTTCAGAAATAAATTTCTTAGATATTGATGTTGTTAAATTTTATAGTTAAGTGTCATTTTAATTTTCTTGCATTGGAATAAAGAATTTACTAATTTTTTTTAGAGAATTTACTTATGATGTTGTTGTTTTTCAATGAATAAAGTTTTTGTATTCCATGTTTTAATTATATATTTTTATGTTTTTTTAATGAAGAATGAGTATTCATCTGATTGATACCAACGACAATAATGGAGATATATGTCTCGTTGATAGTGCAACAACTCATACAATACTTAAAAATAAAAAATATTTTTCTTCTTTGGTAATGCAAGAAGCCAATGTTCAAACTATATCCGAAAGTATAAACATGATTGATGGCTCTGGAAGAGCTAATATATTATTGCTTGGAAGAACTAAATTACACATTGATGGTGCATTTGATTATACTAAGTCTAGTAGAAATTTATTGAGTTTTAAGGATATCCACAAAAATGGATACCATATTGAGACAGCAAATAAAGAAAATAAAGAATATTTTATTATTACGAATTTAATTTCTGGTAAAAAGTTCACACTAGAAAAATTATCGATATTTTCCTTTGGCTTGTATTACACATTTATTAATACAATTGAAATACATGCTATTGCAAACCAAAAGTTTACAAATGGTAATAAATCCAATGTTTGGCATGATCGTTAGGCCATCTCGGGTCAATTATGATGCGAAGGATAATCGAAAAATCATGGGGACATTCATTGAAAGGTCAATAGATTCCACAATCCTATGATTTTTCTTGCGCTACATGTTTTAAAGGAAAGTTAATTATTCGACCATCACCAACAAAAATAAAAAGTGAGTCTCTCACATTTTTAGAACGCATACAAGGTGATATTTGTGAGCCTATATTCCCATCATGCGGACTATTCAAGTACTTTATGATTTTAATTGATGCATCAACAAAATGGTTGCATGTTTGGTTGTTATCTTCTTGTAACTTGGCATTTGTGGGATTGTTTGTTCAACTTATTAGATTAAAAGCACACTTTTCTAATTATCCTATTAAGAAAATATGTTTAGATAATGCTAGTGAATTTACTTCACAAGCTTTTTAATGAATATTGCATGTCTCTTGGAATTGATGTTGAACATCCTGTAGCACATGTTCATACACAAAATGGACTTGCAGAATCACTGATTAAATGCTTACAATTGATTGCATGACCATTACTTATGCGGTCGAATCTCCCAATTTCTACTTGGGGGCATGCAATTTTACATGCAGCATCATTAATTCATATAAGGCCAACAAATTATCTTAAGAGCTCTCCTTTAAAATTGGTTTTTAGTTAGGAACCTACTATTTCCCATCTAAGAATTTTTAGATGTGCAGTATATGTTCCAATTGTTCCACCATAACGTACTAAGATGGGTCCTCAAAGAAGGATAGGAATATATGTTGGATATGAATCTCCATCTATAATTAAATATTTAAAACCATCAACAGGAGATTTATTTACTGTTCGATTTACTGATTATCATTTTGATGAATCAGTTTTCCCAACATTAAGGGGAGAAAATAAGTAGTTAGAAAAGGAAATTAGTTAGAATGAATTATTATTATCTCATCTTGATCCTCGTACAAAGCAATATGAACTAGAAGTTTAAAAGATAATTCATTTACAAAATTTAGCGAATCAATTGCCAGATGCATTTATTGACCCAAAAAAAGTAACTAAATCACATATTCCAGCTGCTAATGCTCCAATTAGAATTAATGTCATGGTTGGACAACTTGTTATTACAAATGATTCTAAACCACGCATAAAATGTGGAAGGCCCATTAGTTCTAAAGATTAAAATGTGTGAAAATAATGAGATCTCAATAAATTATATTATGAATGGAATACAATGGGATCAGAATGAAGTCAACATTGATGATATTTTTGCATATAATGTAATGCTTGATGTAATAAATGATAATGAAGATCATGAATCAAAGTGCATAAAGGAATGCAAACAAAGAGAGGATTGGCCAAAATGAAAAGATTCAATTGAGGCGGAATTAAAATCACTTAAAAAGAAAAATATTTTTGGACCTGTAGTCCACACGCCCAAAGGTGTCAAGCCGGTGGGATATAAATAGGTTTTTATGTGAAAAAGAAATAAAAATGGTGAAATTGTAAGATATAAGACACAGCTTGTGGCTCAATGATTTACACAAAGGCCTAGAATTGACTTTATTGAAACATACTCACCAGTGGTGGATGCAACTACTTTTTGATATTTAATTAGCCTGGCAATAAGTAAAGGACTCGATTTGCGTCTAATGGATATTGTTACAGCTTATTTGTATGGTTCACTTGATAGTGATATTTACATGAAACTCCCTGAAGGATTCAAATTGCCAGAAGCATACAATTCAAGTTCTCAAGAAAATTATTTGATCAAGTTAAATAAATCCTTATATGGATTAAAACAATTAAGATGTATGTGGTATAATTGACTTAGTGAATATCTGTTGAAAGAAGGTTATAAAAATGATTCCAATTTGTCCTTCTATTTTATGAAAAGATCTGGAAAAGAGTTTGCTATACTTGCTGTTTATGTTGATGACATAAATATTATTGGAATACCTAAAGAGCTTTTAAAAACTATAAATTACTTAAAGAAAGAATTTGAAATGAAAGATTTGAGAAGAACAAAATTTTACCTTGGATTGCAAATGAAATATATGAATAATGAAATTTTTTTATGTCAAGAAACTTATACAAGAAAGGTCTTAAAATGATTTTATATGGATAGATCACATCCATTATGTGCCCCAATGGTTGTAAGATCATTGAAGGTAGAGAAAGATCCTTTTAGACCTCAAAAAGGTGATGAAAAACTACTTAGTCTAGAAGTACCATATCTTAGTGCAATTGAAGCACTAATGTATCTTGCTAGTCACACGCAACCTGATATCTCATTTGCTGTTAACTTATTAGCAAGATACAGTTCTTCACCAATACGAAGGCCTTGGAATGGTGTTAAACACATTTTTGTTATCTTAGGGGTGCTATGGATATAGGATTATGTTATTCCAAAGTACCTAAAGCTAACCTTATTAGTTATGCGGATGCTGAATTTTTGTCTGATCCTCATGTTGATATATCATAGACAGGTTATTTGTTCATATATGGTAGTACAACCATTTCATGGCGATCTATGAAACAGACAATATCAGCCACATCATCTAATAATGTAGAAATTCTAGTTGTACATGAAACAAGTCGAGAATGTGTGTGGTTAAAATCATTAATCCATCACATAAGAGCTACTTGTAGTCTGTCTTCTAATAAAATGATCCCAACGATTATATATGAAGATAATACTGCTTGTATTGCCCAATTGAAAGAATGATATATTAAAGGAGATAGAACAAAATATATTTCACTAATTTTTTTTTCACTCACGATCTTCAAAAGAATGGTAAAATTAATATCCAATAAATTCGTTCTAAAGAAAATCTAGCTGATATGTTCACCAAGTCACTTCCTGGTAAAATATTTGAAAAACTTGTTCATGATATTTGACTTCGCAAACTTAAAGATATCAATTGATGCTGTCAAGAGGGGGAGTTAATATGCACTGTACTCTTTTTTCCTTGTTTATGGTTTTTTCTCATTGAGTTTTCCTAGCAAGGTTTTTAATGAGGCGGCATTGAATAACGTATTAATGAATGATGTACTCTTTTCTTCTACTAGGTTTTTTCTCACAAAGTTTTTCCTAGTTGAAGTTTTTAATAAGGCACATTCTTATATAATAGACATCCATAGGGGAGTGTTATGAATATTACAAGGATGGTGGATGTCATTTTCATCACGTCTTTATCTTCATTTTCTTCCGTAAAACTCCCACCATCATGAGAGTTAATTGCCTTTCCATGAAACTCTCTCCATTATAACAGTTGATTACCCTTTATTTGCTTTCATAATTAGTGTAACATTTTATATGTAAGACTATGCTTATAAATAAGACATGTAATTTATATTGAAGGATACAATAATTCATAAGAAATTCTCTCATTCTCTTATCTCTATTTCTTTTCTCAATATCTTTATTTTTTAGTTGTTAATTTCATGACACCTAAGACATTTTCAAAACAATTCATATCTTTCTCAGCCTTTTGGCTAAGATTAAGTGTAGTATCTATTCTTATCAGTTTAATATCTGATACGTGGGCCAATAGTCCACACGATATTAAATTCAATTTTTTAGGGGGAGGGTCCATCGCGGTAGCTATTGGGATCCTTGAGCGTCGTCCATGTGTTGCACTACTGCTTGGTCCTGGCGCACCCATCCAAGCCCAGTTATAGTGTTGTGGCCCAAATCTTAGTGTTTTATTATTGTCCTCCATCCGAGTCTTCATTATTCCAGTCTTCCTTGAAGTTAGGCTGAGTTCGTACCTATCTGAACCCAAAACATTTGGGTCCACAAATCGAATTTTCTAGTTACGGGCTTTCGAGTGCCCAAGGAAGCTTCAGCCTCCATGTGCTGCGTATTCTCAAGAGTTTTGGATAATTGTAGGATGTTTGAAAATGTTAAAATAATATTGCCTTTTTGGGCCAACAAAAAATAGCGCCCTTGATCCATTATACTGACGCATATGAATAACCTGTATATATATATATATGTATAGCAAATTCAAACTCGTGACCACTATTAGAGAATCAGCGTTCCAAAATTATGTTTCTATTAATCCTTTCGCGTAATGAAGCCAAATCCGCATGCTTCGAACTCATTTATATGCTGTAAAATGTAGTTTCTCTTTTTTCTTTGATTTCCTGTTCCAGCCTTGCTGGCTGCAACTGCTTAATGATGATATTAGTTGTTAATCAAGTGAAAACAAATTGAGAGAAGATGAAAGAAGCCCATGAATATACCATTTACCCTTCAGATTCAACCTATCATAATTTCTGAGAATTTCTTGGTGGAGATATAGCTTAGCTGCTACAGCATGATTTTACTTGTTGAGACTGAGAATATATACTTTTCTGCTACTTCCTTTGTTCCATCTTTTATTTTTATTTTTATTTCTCAACAAATATTACCCTTTTTTCCCTGATAATAATTTTGAATGCTATTGTTATCTAGATGATTTTTGTTATTCGCTTCCGATAGTTCATAAGGTCATAATATTTTTGCCCAAAAAATATTATCATGGCTTGTTTGATAATTTTTAGAGGGTGCTGAGGACCGAAATCAGGTATAAGTAAAGAATAAATGTAACATATGAACTTATAAAGTATCAATTGAAAATCGATATCTCTTGTAATCAGATAATAACAAATTTTAAATTATTATTTATCAATAAATAGTAAATACTCCATCCGGTCATATTTATAAGATACATTCTAGAAGTAATTTTTGATTCAAAATATAAGATATATTGTAATAATTAAATCACTTTTTTAATACCCCTTATTAATTAGCGTAAAAATATTTAATGTATTTTGTTATTTAGAATATTTTCAAATATTTTCTATCATTATTGTGTATATATCTCAATTATTATTAGGAGATATTATTTGATATTATTATATAATTATTAGTTATTATTATATTATCTATTTTTTTGATGTATATAATGTACCCTTCAAATCAATAATATACATGATATTTTTCAATTCTTCTTTGGTTCTCGTCTCTAATAGCTTTTATAATTATATTATTATTTAAAATTAAAGATAAAAATAAAGTATATATTATATTATGAAAAAAAATTAATTTTTTTAATATGTATAAAATAGTTAAAAGTGTTCGATAATAAAGGTTGGAGGAGTATATGAGCAGGTGTTTTATATATGTTTACTTTCCTATTTCAATAAATCTCCAAAGGCTGTGCAAATGGAAATTCCGTATTAGCACTTAAAAGTTGAAAACAAAAAAGAACGAGAAAAAGAAAAAGAAAAAGAAGTTAAGTTTCTGGTAAGTGCTGACAGTCTTGAGATGAAATAGGAAATCAAAGGAAGCACGCTCAAGCCTGCCGCTTCTATCAAGTCCCACATCGGTCAGTTAGCAACGTGTCTAAGCAACGAGCCGATATAAAAACCTAACGAATACACCTTACAACTCATACCTTTCTCGGCCTTTTGGCTAAGATCAAGTGTAGTATCTGTTCTTATCAGTTTAATATCTGATACGTGGGCCATCGGCCCACATGATATTAAATTTATTTTTTTAGGGGGAGGGTCCATCACAGTAGCTTGCTACTGGGGTCCTCGAGCGTCGCCCGTGCTTTGCACTACTGCAAGGGCTTGGCGCACCCTTCCGAAACAGTATGTAAAATTCTGTGGATTCTGTGGCCAAATCTAGTGTTCTATTCTTCGCTGGGTTTTTTTCTAGTCTAATAAGGTTTATTTTGTTCATGTTTTGTATCCGCAAAGCGTAATCCACGCATGTTTTCCTCATGAAATTTGAATTAGAAGAATCTAGAATTAATTTTATTACACAACCCCATACATGTCTTGTTTTGTTATAAAGGATTAGAATTTGAGAGTAGTAATTAAATGTTAGTTATCAACCTTCAGTAGTGTTTTATATTGCTAAACTTATATTGCTAAACTTAGTGGGGAAAGGCAAAATCATGGAACATGGAATTACAATTGCAATCATTGACTAAGGGAGTGCAAGAGTGCAAGAGACTAAGAGTCATTACTATTAAATCCAATGCTCAAACGCAAATGAGATCACCTTTCCATTCAACAACCCAATTAATAATTCTCTTCAATTGAAATGCAACACGTCCTTTAAAAAATATATATATATAATATATATATACAAAAAATCAAATACCAAATGCCGAATTTAAAAATAGGAAAAATGCATCATGGGCAGCAGAACATAATTAATCATGTATTGCTTTTCCTGCTGAGTAAAAGTGTACTTAATTAGGTATTGGTGGCTGTTTTCCATCACATTAATTTATCCCTTAATAAAATAACAGACATTGGAGGTTTTTTTTGCTCATTCCTTTTTGCAAAAATAATATTATGTCTAAATTACATTTTTAATTAAAAAATTAAACTGAATTGATTGATTCAATTGATAAATATTGTAGTTTTAATCCAACTGAGTTTTTTTTTTTTTATTGCCACATGAACGCTCTTTCATTAAATCATACCCTTTGGCCTTCGTCATAGAAGTGATCATGTATATTATTCTTAGAAACATCATGTTCTAAATTATAACACAATATTATTAACTATAGAATTTATTTGTATTTATTTAACAGATTTGTTATGATAATTACAATTCATAGTTTTACAAAAATAAGCTAGTTTTAAATATTTTAAAAATTATTAAATAATGAAATAGTGTATCATTATTCAATAAAATATTATGTGTTAACTTTAATAATTAGTGCACCGTGAATAAGAAACATGATGTCAATAGAACATGTATAGCCATGATCTCATAGATTTACATACAAATTAAGGAAAATTTACGGAAAGTAATTAATTGTGTTAGTGTGTAGATGCATAGCTTTTACTCGTTGTTTTGTTTTGTTTTGTTTTTTTTTTTGGGGCTAAAGTTTAGCTCTTAATTGTTGAAGACATAACTTTGTTGTTGTTGTTGAATCAGATACTTGAATTTTGAAGTTTGGACAAATAATTAACGGCTAATGAGAAAGACCAGTGCTACTAACTAGTTTGAAATAAATAGAGATATTAACGTGTTAGGAGATTTGTTAACATCACAAGAGATTATTACTTCTATAAATTACAAGCTGTTGACCACTATGGTTTATGATATATATTTAATACTATTAGTTATTAAGTCTAAAAAAAAAACTAATATCTTATAACATAGTGAATCAATGCTCAAATCATTAATGAGAGAGGTGCTTAAATTGACTGTGTTTTAAATATAATTGCCTTCAATAAAAAAAAAAAACTTGTATGCAATTCACATACACGCATATATAACTAAACCCCAACAATTTTTTCCCCGATATACCTAATTCTGACATTTTCTACAATGCGAGATTTATCAAATATCATCTTTAGTGACGAAAAATTAATATTTTTCTTAGAAAGATTCATATATATATATATATATATATATATAAAAGCTGCAATGTCCATAAAGAAGAATTTGAAATAATGTTTCCACAGATAACTTAATTGTGGAATATGAATTTTGTTATTGCACCAATAAAATTATGAAACCCCTTGATATCAAGTAATTTTTATTGACCGAAAATGAGTAATTTCTGCATATAAATTATAATGGCAAGTTTCTGTAGGCAAAGATGCTTAAGGAAAGCAACATAAGTAGTATTTTAATTTTTTTTATATTTTCCTTTATTTATTTCTTTTATTGTGAGAAGAAAATAAAATATATCACATGTTTGTTATTGGTCGAATAATGCCTACCTGCTCAGACGGTCAGCGATAATCATCATTAGAAGTGTAAAACTCGTTTGCAAATAAAATTAAAAGTATTTAGACTTTTCTTTCGGTAGTTGAGCCCTTCAATTATATTTTACAGACATATATAAACACATTATATCTCCGCAGCCACGCCATATTTCTAGAATCACCCCCCTTTTTTTTAAGTACACTTAAAAAAAAAAAGCTGAAAATTAATTAGACACTCAATTTCTTTATACAATAATTGATGTAATTAGAGTGAGGTTCATGTATTTAATTTGTAGAGTTTATAATATGTGATATTATTATGACACACTGCCCATATTTACAAGTGCGACTTTCTACAATTTTTATAGGTATATTAATTAATAATTAATTAATTAATTATATTTGAAAATTTATTTTATTTTAGTGAGTAAAACGTCACTCTTACAAATCAAAACAAAAAATTATATAAAACTATTAAATATAAATTAGTATTTTTTTTAATTTCATCATGTAATATTTTGGGAAATTTGGGATTATCCACATGGATATTGTGAGACATTTTTGAAATATTTATGTAACTTGAGTAAATATCACAAGACTCAAGTTAAAGACGCCAACAGAAACTGATTCAATTTGCTCAATTAATTGAACCAAACGTGACAAATAGAATTAAATATGAATTAGCATGAAAAATACATTTGAGCTGCCATGCGTTTTTTATTAAAACAAAGACATATTACCAGGAAAACGCGAGAATTTATTCTCGCAGAAACATTTGTTTTTTTTTCTAAAGAATTTTCAAATAGAGTCCGAGATTACACCATACCTAAAACAATTAAATATATATATTTGGTATAGCACATATTTAATTATTAGTCCAAGAAAAAGGAAAAGTGCATGAAAAGTAAGATAATTTTTTATTTAATATGGTTTGTATTTTTATTTATGATTTCCATATTATCATTTTTAATAAAAATAAGAAAATAATTTTATTCTTATTTTTATATTTAACAATATAGGTTATATAATAGAAAAAATATTGCAAGTGGAATAAAAATGTGCGTTCAATCATTGAAGAAATAAATTATTGGAGGTAAAGATAAAATGGAATATAGATAAAGGCGCACGGTTTAAATTATTCTATATGAAAGAAATGGCGAATACTTTCATTAATTTCACTTCTTTTTTATTGATTGCAACATAATAATAATGTGAACCACAAATGCATGTCTTTCTATAATTAGTTTATTTAAGGTCGTGATTACTGATTAATATGCTTCTGTTTTTTTTTAATAATCACTTATTAACACGCTTCATCCATTGGCAAATGGAGGATAATATGTCACTTTTCCAAGTCAAGGTCATTCACCAAAAAGAAGGACCGATGATCTGTTCCTTTTCATTTAATTCTATTTTATTATGAAGTAGCTTAGGGAAATATAATGTCACACGCGTCCAAATTTTGACTTTGAATAAACTTTGAAAATGTGAATTCTATTTTTTTTATGAGATATTCAAATTACATCGTTCTGTTTTTACTTTTTATTTTTTTAAAAAATTTACACTTTTTTAACATAAAAAATTTATCATAATCGAATTTATTTTGATTAAGTTTGTGAGTTTTGAACTAATTAAATACTTCATTAAAAATATACTTTTCACAAGAAATGAATGTTATTAAGAATACAATTGGCTACATTTTGGACCATTATATTGAAATGAACAATGTCTAACACATAATTTATTATTATTGTTGTCGGTGTGGTTACACATTTTGGAGCAAAACAGAATTTTTTTTAATTTTATTATTTTGCATATTGTATATCTCAAAATGAACTAAATATTAATTTACATTATGTAAAATAAAAAATACGTTATTTACCTTATAATTAATTATGATGTTCAACGTTGACTTTATATTATTAGTAATGAAAACTTTTGGAAAGAGTAAAAGTATACATACATTTTACAATGACAAAACAATGAAATAATGGCCCTTGAGAAACTTTCTTGCCAAATGCAGAGTCAATAATCACTAGTATGACTCTATGAATGTCTGTATTACTTCACTAATATCATCATTAACTGACATGTTTTCTCTCAAAGTTCAACAATGATAACCTTTACAATCATGCTACTCTAATTAATCCCATAAAATTAATTAATTTTTTATTTGAAATAGATTATTCTCTCTTAAGTCTTATTCTTATTATAAGATATTTTTAATTGTTTGCACATTAAGAGATATAATTAAAGCTAGGTAACCACATTAAATTTGTCAATAATTTGAATGAGTCTAAAAAATTACCATCGTTTCTGTTATCATCAATGAGGATATTTAGCCAAAAATAATAATTAATGCCTTAATTTGTAAACAACCTTATAAGAAGGACAACAAAAAATCCTATGATAAAGATAAGAGGAAATACTAATACTTAACGAAGACACATAAACTCAATTAATCTGGTAGAAAAGTAAGACAATTAATTGTACGTATCAAGTGCACAGATATGGCTACTCAGACGTGCAGCCCACAATTCATGGGGCTTGACATCTCTACATTTAACCTCTATACTTGCTCTCGATTATCCATGTCAGTAGTTAGATTAAAATTTGAATGGTTTAAACTTAATATTTATGAAATACTTTTTCAAATTTTTATTCACTACAACTTTAAATTGTTAGATGTTGCTTTAGTAGCTTGATTTTATTTATTTATAAATTTATTTTAATAATAATTTTGTAAAATATTAAATTTAGACTATTTAAAATTTGATCTAATGACTGAGATGTGTAGTAGAGAGGAAGTGAAGAGAAAGCTACATGGAGAGCAACCAAGTTCCATTTCATAATGCAAGTTTAATCACTGGGAGAAACAATTTCAGTCCCCTGATTTGCTACCTAACATTGACTTAATATTAAGATTTGATATTTCAAAGCTCAAAATTGGCAGGCATGTACATTAGCATAAGGTCAATGATTTTGTTGGTTAGGTTCTTGAATAATCATTTCTCAAATCTTGATACCAAATCTTTTTAAACTAGGCGACTTCATGCATGCGTGTGAAGTAATTAGAGGACCAAGGCAGAATTAGCTATATTGTTTTTATTTTATTCTTAATAAATAATAATAAATAAACAATTTATTATTATTAACAATTAACAGCATGTCAAAATATTTTGTCCTGGCCAAAGGGGTGGTTGCATAATTATTAACTTGGTGACGTCATCAAATATATCAATTAAAAAATAGTACTTTCATTTTTTTTTTTTATAACTATATTAGGTTCACACGTATTCCTTGAGAAGAAAAGACCATATATAAAATACAAAGCCACCCTACTAATCCTGCCTCTTCATGCACCCCACCTAAACTATAAAAGAAATAAAAAAAATAATCTTCTTGTTAAAATGTCTTCCTCTTATCTACCAAACTAATCGTTTTAATATGTTCTTATATTTCATTTTTTGAGTCCTTAAGGATTTAGAATCACATTCTCTGCCGACATACTCCATTACTCTTAATTCCATACTTCCTTCCTATGTGTTTCCCAGAAGTTTACACCAAAGTTGGCCAAAACTGAATCTACTTTTTTTTTTTAAATGAACCAACATAATTGTCAATGCCACTAAATTATGATAACCATAATGCTGTTGATATCAGATATTATGGTTGACACTAGTGATTCTGTTGATATATCTCTAGCATTCTTGTTCTTCAAGTTAATTCTTATTTCATGCAGAAGTTGATTAGTCTGCAAGTAAAATTTCACTTGAACCATGTGCCACTAAATATGGGAATGTAATGATTGATCTAAAGCTGTTTTCAAAAAAGCTTTTAGTTGGTTAATAGCTTTCAAAGGTGGAACCTGGGGCCGGCACAGAGTGAAAAATTAACCAAATATTAATCATTGAAATGGATGCTTCTGTCTATAACAGTGTCAACCCAAATCTCCTTTTCATTTCTTTATTTTATCAATTCTAGGATAAAACAACACAAAGAATAAGAGAGGAAAAAAAAAAAGAATAAGTTATTGACTATAGTGCTAACAACTACGTGGGGAGAAACATTTTATAGATATGGCATTTCAGAGGCCTCCAATTGTCAAGTACAAGTATCTCAAAGCATTGCTTTATCCTCTCTACTCAAAACCTCAAGGGTCTAGTATATGCCAAAGCTTCATATCTAAAGAATGGCATTTTCTTTGTGAGAATATATATAGTATTGGGTGGTTTCTGTTTTTGAGGTGGTAGAAAATGATGTACGATTCAATATTTTCCAGAAGCTTTAACAAGCATGAGCAGAGAAGACTGAAATATGGAGCATTTGTGAGCTGTTTTCTGCTTTTTTTGAGTCTCTGCACAGTGTTCAAGCCTTACTTGGGCCCTATTCATGATTGTGAGTTCTCAACTCTCTCTCTCTCTCTCTATGGAGACGCTACTAACTTGCATGGAGGGATTTTGCTTTCATTGTGCTATGAAATTCTAAAATGTCTTTTGTTTTTGCAGTGAATCTGAGGCTGTCAATGGGTGACGGGGTCAAAATGAGAATGGTCAATGACATCACTAGCTCCCCAAAAATAGCTAAAGGTAATATTTTCTGAATCCTAATAAGGTCAATACTAGTAAAAGCTAGCTCAAGTTTCTCACATGAGCATTGAAGGTTGATGATTCTGACAGAACTTTTGTGTGACTATTCTTTATGTAGCAGTGAAGACATGGTAGCAAAGATTATAGTAAATGACACCAGAAGCTCTCCACAAATGGAAGAAGGTTCGATTTTCTCAATCTTAAAATGGTTATAAGGATAAGGTCTAAATTATTAACTCTAAAGTATTTCTTTTTGGTTGCCGTTGAAGCCATTGCAACTGAGAACCTTGTCAATGACACTAGCAGCTCTTCACCAGTGAATGAAGGTAAATTTTTCTAAATCTCAATGAGGCTAAAAGTATGAGAACTAGCCAATTATAACTCACAATATTCCTTGTTTTTTAGACAAAGAAATTATGATAAAAGTTGTAGTCAATGACACCAGCAATTCTCCACAAATAGCTGAAGGATCTGAAGGTAAGATATGCTCAAGCTTGACATCATTAAAACCATTTGAACTAGTCTTCTTTTGGATGGTAAGTCATGAATTTGACAGAAACTTCTTGGCTTTGTAGCTGAAGAAGACATCTCCACTAAGATTCTTGTCAATGACACCAACAGCTCTCATGTACAAACAGTTCCAGGTAACATATGCTTAAATTTCAATAGAGCTAGCTGAGATCAGCTTCATGTTGAATGGTAACAGATAACATGGTGTTTTGAGACCAATGGTTCACGAAGATACCTTTTTTTTTTAACACAGTAACAAAGAAAGAGGAGCCACTAGTATGCACTTCAGAAGTAAGAACAGATTTCTGTGAGGCCTGGGGTGATATTAGAGTTCAGGGAAGTTCTTCTACTGTCTATGTCGTGTCACCAGAAACAAGTACCTTGTCAGAAAGCATGTCAAAGATCATAAAACCTTATGCAAGGAAGGAGGATGCATTTGCATTGAGCATGGTGAGAGAATGGTCAGTGAAGTCATTAAAGGGTAACAAGCAAGGTCTTCAGTGCTCTCAAAATCACACCATTCCAGCAGTCCTGTTTTCCACTGGAGGTTATGCAGGAAATCACTTTCATGACTTCACAGACATTCTCATTCCTATATTTCTGACTTCAAGGAATTCAATGGAGAAGTACAGTTTCTTGTAACTAATCACAAAGCTTGGTGGCTTTCAAAGTACCAAATACCTCTGAAGAAGTTGTCAAGCTATGAGTTCATTGACATTAACAAAGATGACCAAGTTCATTGCTTCCCAAGTGTGATTGTTGGTCTCAAACGGTACGAAAAGGAATTGCGCTTTGACCCATTAAAGCATTCTTATTCCATGAAAGATTTCAGGGATTTCTTGAGGAGTTCCTATTCATTGAAGAGAGACAAAGCTATCAGATTAAGAGATGGTCAACACAGAAAGCCAAGGCTTATGATTATAACAAGAAAAAGGACAAGATCTTTCACTAACCTTGATCAGATAGCCAAAATGGCAAAGAGGTTGGGTTTTGAGGTTATCGCCATGGAAGGAGGTGGCAACTTATCAAAATTTGCAGAGATTGTGAATTCCTGCGATGTTCTAATGGGAGTTCATGGGGCAGGCCTAACCAACATAGTTTTTCTTCCAGAAAATGCTGTTTTTATCCAAGTAGTGCCATATGGTGGGGTAGATTGGCTTGCCAAAAATGACTTTGGAGTGCCCTCAAAGGAAATGAACCTAAATTACTTGGAATACAACATCAAGGTTGAAGAAAGCACCCTGATTCAACAATACCCACCAGACCATTCTGTTATAAAAGATCCTTCATCAATTCAAGGATGGGATGCATTTAGATCTGTGTACTTGGATAAGCAAAACGTGAAGCTTGACGTTGATAGGTTTAGGCCTACTTTGCAGAAAGCCCTTGAGCTTTTGCATCAGTAAGTTGGGTCATTCGTCATGATTATTTTTCCCTTTGTTTTTTAACATTTCAGTGTACATAATAAGGAACAGAGAAACATAATATACTTAATTATATATACAAGAAAGGAGAAACGAAGCTCATCCTCATGCAGGCATTTTGTCGTAAGCTTGAGCAATGAAGTTGGTTGTTGCTGTAATTTTCTAATTCCCCTTCATCAAGTTGCCCTTTCGAGGAAAAATGATTTTTGTTGTTGATATTGTTCTGTGATTGTATTGCAATTTTATTTAATGCAGAAAAGGCTCAAGTTGCTAAGCACATTACTGACGGCTCTGGCTTGTGTTACAGTTTATTTGATGTTGATTTTATTGTGATTGGAGAACAATTATTCACATTGTCAGTAGATGGAAATGAGTCATGGATTTTCTGCTTTAAAATTGACAAAATTTGTAGATGACATACTCTTAATTTCAGGATCTAACAACTAATAAATTTTTCAAATTACATATATCTTGCATGATTGAGAAGATTCGGAAATTGTCATGTAATTGTTAAATAAGATGGCAAAAGCGAAGTTAAATTTAACGAAGTAAATTAGCAAAAAAATTTAAGAAAAAATTCAAAATTTCAAAGTTAAAAAATTGAAATCTTCAGGTGTGGAAACAGGGTTGGAAATTCACAATTAACAGGGGACTTTGCCGAAAATGGTGTTAACCCATAATAGAATTGTGTACAGTTACCACAAAGATTGTATATAGGAAGAATCTCATTAGGGCCTTTAGACACAAAAATTTATATTTAAAGCTCAATAGAATATAAACACACACTATAGGCCTGAGACTCTTCTTGTAAATTTTGTTATGGATAAAGACACATTTGCCCTTGTTTCAACAAAATATCCTTGTATGTACAATATGACATTTATAAATTCTCAACACAATATTTATAAATGCATAACTCATCAATAAATATGATTTAACTTAAAGTGAAATGTACAAACAAGCAAAGAATGAATAATATAATGTCCAGAAATGCATAATATGATATCTATCAATTATCAACACAGTAAACATATATAAACCTGCAATATTTGTATAATATAAAATTCATAATGAACAATATACTTTTATTAAAACAACATACTTTAAGTTAATATTCATCAGATGTGATGTTCATTCATAAACATCATATTAAGAATTCATGAATATGATATCATGCATACATGAATATTCTATTAAAATAAAGGCAAATACATCTTTTTGCTCGCAACAAAATTTATAATAAAGGCTATCGAGCTTGTAATATGTTTTTAAATTTTATTGAGCCTTAAACATAAATTTTTGTATTTTGAAAGTCCTAAAAAGATTCTCCATTGCACACAAGGTCTAAAACATAAATTTTTGTATTTTGAAAGTCCTAAATAAGATTCTCCATTGAACACAAGGTCCACTCATCAACGCGCAAACATGATCATTGAAATAACGTAATTTCCGTCACATTTTCAAATAAAGACGCACTTTATATGAAAAAGAAAAAAACAACAACAACAATAATAATATGATGCTAAACTATTATAAAAAGTCAATTGCTTATATTTTTCTTGAAAAGCTTCATAAAACGAGCTCAAACCTCTTTTTATTTATTTATTTTTTTGCATTGGTCCCAAAAAATAGCCCCCTGCTTTGCATGAACCCAAGACAATTATAACATATTTTTATTATTTAATATCATGAATATATGATTAATTTTTTTCAATAAAAGAGAATATTTAGATGTTATATACTTATTTAATGAAGTGATAACAGACAATTCCTAAAACAAAAACACTAAATAAGTCTTCTGGATATTGGATTCCACATGTAATTACACCCAATCAGGTCATCGCAATTCAGATCCACTGAGCCACATTCAGTTTATTGGCTTCAAAGATTACCTTTCTCTATCATTCCATCATATCATCGCCTTCCACAGTCGGCTTACAATCTCAGCTTCGTGCAAGAGCATCACCCCTTCTAAGTCCTAATACTAATATACATTATATTAATTTAATCAATAATTAGCAGGCCTGATACCCAAGGCTTACATGACATGTTTCCCAAACATCCCATGGACTGTAGCCTGAAAAGCATATCTGCCCACAACACAGTAGCATATAAATAATGTGAAACGGGATCCTTTATATTAATATAAATAAATGTATATGATCCATTCAAAAAGAGATTGTAAAATATAAAGCCATGAACTCCACACAGTCACTATTTTTGCGTCATTTTTTTTTCTTCTGTTTCTTCCCCAAAATATGAATGTAAAGGATCTGACCTAAACAATGCATCGTTGTTACCTTGGTATAATTGCCGCTTACTCCCCTTTCTGGCAAGAAATTATGCACAAAAGTACAGAAGACACCTCACGCAGCAGTTGCTCAACCAGCGAACCCCTCAGCCTAAATCAGGCCAAAATAATTCTATAAATATTGATAAGTGCCTAAAATCCAGGAAGATTCTGGATGCAATCACCCTTTACAAAAATAAGGGCTAAAGATGTAGCTGTCGAAGTATTGTTCCTCAATAGCTCTGTACACTCTTTTTGGACATCCACTGGAAACAAACTACATTGCATCCAGTGCATCATAGATAGCCTTCACCATAGACAAGTTCTTCCTCTGTAAATTACAACGCTATACTTGTTATCTAATCAAGACCTTGATCTCATCAAGTGAAGGTCCATCATCTTCTTCTAGAACCATTCAGAAAAATTTGCTTCTTTTATTTCCCTTTTTGAAAGGCAAAGCCATACGATCATCATCATTATGATTAGAATGCGGATCACCCTTTAACCATAAAAGAGCCTCAGCAGCAGCATCCTTTTCTGCTTGTTTCCTGCTGTTGCAAGGGTGACCAACAAAATTCAAGCCATTGAATATGACAGTAGAGCGGAACTGATTTCCCAGTTGTTTTGTTTTGTAAGTTGGTGGTTCATGTCCAGCCCTGACAAGCAATGTTTGCAGCTGGTCTTTACAATCACCGCTCTCAATAGAACTGCTTTTGGAGCATTTTGCCTTATTTGATGGTTTATGCCGATCCCTGCCAAGCAATGATTGAAGCTGGTCAATATCATCGCTAGATGAATGTGTATTCCCTTTTAACCACAGAAGAGCCTCCGAAGCAGCGTCCTGCTCTGCTTGCTTCTTGCTGCTGCAAGGCTGGCCAACAAAATTCAAGCCATTGAATATGACAGTAGAGCAGAACCGGTTGTTTTCAAGTTGTTTTGTTTTGTAAGTTGGTGGTTCATGTCTAGCCCTGGCAAGCAACGTTTGCAGCTGGTTTTTATAGTTACTGCACTCGATAGAAACACTTTTCGAATCTTTTGCCTTATTTGATGGTGATAGCACCCGACTACCAAAGACGAATTTTCCACTACACTGGTCCTCCGATACCAGCAATCTGACAGCTGAAAGAAGCCCATCACATGATTGTATATCCAACTTGGGATCCAGAAGCTGCGAAATCATACAGTGTATGACAAGGTAACTACGTCAGGGAGTTGCAGAGATGATAATTCAAAAAGAATTCTACAACAAAATAATAACTGTTAAAAGTTAAAATTTAGGGATGTGGCATTTGCATATACTTACTTTTCTATGTATTAATTCCTCCAGCTCCTTCTTCAGGCTCAAGTAAGTCTCAGCTAATGCAGGATTCATGAAAAATTCCAAATACCCCCCCAGCATTTTCAGGTGACCATCCTATCATAGGTTCCATATTACATCACGATATGTAAAAAGAGAAACACTAGCAACTCCACAATCATGAACATGAAAACAACTGATCCAAGGAAAATTGAACATGAATTGAGAAACTCACCAGTCCACCTCTGGAAACATTCCCACCAAATAAGAGCAGCATTGAATCAGATATACCGGTTGAATCCCGGATGAATACTGAATTCACCTTCACCTTTTCATTGAATACCAGCCACGGGAAAGGAATTTTGGGTACAGCGCCATTTACAGAGTTCTGTGTGATGCAGCACCAAGAGTCAAAACTACGCTTCAGAATTTGAATAGCTTACACTTTTCTCCAATAAAAACTGGATCGTGAGAATCCAAGGACTGATAAATAAGAGTCAGTAATTTGAGTAGGGGTGGGCTTGTTCAGGCTGGCTCGGACTTATAAAAAGGCCTAAACAGCCAACCCTAGCCATAACCTCTTTGAGCTTTAGGCCAACCTGAATGCCCAAATCATTAAATTTTTTTCATTTAAAAAAAAAACTAATTTTTACTTTGAAATTAATTATTTTTATTTCATCAAAAATATAAAGTATAATTTTTGGGATACTTAAAAATGTAGAAGACCAATTTTTTTTTAATGTGGGTCTTAAAGTTTAAAAATCAAGATTAAAATACATTTTAAACATTATTTTGAGATATTTTATAGATTAAAAATAATAAAAATATAACAATGTAAATGTTTATTTTTTTAAAAGAAAAAATTTATGATAATGTACTAAAAAATATGGTATCTTAATATAAAATAGCCTAAAATTTAAAAGGATTAATTAACATTTTTTAAAAAACGGAATTTTTTCATTCGACCATTCAGACAAATCCCAACTCGATTGGGCTTGCTCTAAATTTTTTTGAGCCCATTTGGGTTGACTCAGATAAGCCCGAACATTAAAAAATCATTTTGCTAAGTCCCACTTTAAATTTTTTCAACCTTATTCAGGTTAATCCATCAGACTTGGCCTGAATTACCAGCTCTTATAACTTCATATCAAAGAGAAACTTACTGCATACAGAAGAACTTGACCGTCCTCCATTGTTTTCAATGCTATTGACTTCTCTTTGTTCTGTAAAATACAATTTACAGAGACTTAGTCCACGACAATCACTTAATTGCAATGAAATTACAAATAAACATTACAGAGACAACAAACTAGTTATCACACATACTCTGACACGTAATTCTTCATCAACCATAACAAAAAATGAACATAGTGTCCCACTTAATAATTTTTCCAACATTGACAAGTCGGAAGTAAGATTTAAATCTTAACAATGACATAAATAATAATTGTATCAACTTTTACATGCCAAATATTCTTTCCATGGTGAAGGAGACAAATATGTATAATATTAACTTGTTGCTTCCAATATTGAGAAATATGATCACAAGCAGCATGAGAAAGATGACAAAGCACAGCATGCACATAACAAAAGCTTCAGAAACTGGAAGAGAAGTAAAATGAATTACCACAACAGAGCATACTCCAGGAAACAAACCAGCTGAAATTACCGCTCGGACCAGATGCTCATCATGACTCCATGCATTGCAATAGTCAGTATTATGATCAACCAAACCTATATCTTTGAGCAAGTAAAAAAATTGCTTTCGAAGAGAGTCAATAGCTCTAAGTGTTTGTGAAGAAAGGAAATTTCTCCAACAGTACTCATAACCTTCTTTCTGTGCTTCTGCATTGCTCCAACCCTCATAAGCCCGAACAAGTGCAAGATGATCACTATAGGCACCAGCAGCAAACTGGGCCTTGGCAGACTCTGCAAGCTAAATGAGAGGTAAATGGTAAACATTTAAACATAAAATAACATTCTTCTCGACCTAACAGCCCAAAAGATGAATACTATCTCATTAAGATATGATTCAAGTCCCCTCGGCTCATTCACCAATATAGTCCTAGTTTCGAATATCAAAAGTTACCAACAGATTGAACTAAAAAGAAGCTATAAAGTTGGATTTGGTTGTCATGTTTACGAAACCAAATAATGACAATAATAAGGATCATGATGCGATATCACACTACTTATTTCTAAATTCAGCAATAAAAAATATTTCCAAAAAAAAAAAAAAACTCTTGGTACAGGTGTGCAGATATAACTTCAACAATTTGTGACTTCAAACTACTTACATTCATTACATATAATTTTTTTTTATAAAAGAATATTTCGATTTCTTATCCACAAAGGACATATTTTGTTAAAAAAAGTGACATCTAATTTTTTTTAAATCAAAAAGTTCACATGAAACTGGTCTTAGACAGTAAGCTCGATGATCCCATACCACTTCCCTTCATCCCCAATTTCCATGTCCTGAGGACCCCATTTGTAGGAATATAGAAAAATGTGTTGTGTCAGTGAGGATTAACGCAGTTTAAATATTACTATAACCGAGTAATTCAACCTGAATAGCCACTCTTAATGTCATTCCATTACAAATGCAATATATTAGGGCTCCATACTCGTTTTGAAATAAAAAATGTCCACTGTCATCTCAGGCAAGTTGAAAAAGCAATTACCAGAGACAAGGGGGTGAAAGGAAAATGTTTGAGATAATCATAAAAGTAACTTACGTCCTTCTTGTCAAATGGCGTCATAAATGGATCCCTTACACTAAGACCAGCAGCAACAGTCATTATGGGATCTAAACAGTTGAAGATAGCTCCTAAGATAAGCATCTTGCCAAGTTTAGGCTCTACAGGGAGCATTGACAAGTTACGACCTGCAAAGGAATAACCCAATAATAACTTCTCTCTGATAGAAAAAAGGAACGCACATTCGAAAAGTTAGGATAAACCAAAGAAAAGAGAAAATGAAATAAACTTGGCTTGAAGTACATCATATTTTACCTAAAACTGTCAGATTTTCATCTTCGTCCAAGGCCCCAATAGTCTTCAAATATTCAACAGCGTTTTGAACCTGGAAAATTACAAGCCATTCAAAAAGTAATGGGTTGAATCAAATTCATTGAGGATAGAGGTTGGGTACATCTTAAGTTGTACCGCAAAGAATTCATTATTGATTAAGTCAAATCACAAACATCTTATTTCAGTGAAACTTCCAGAATTAAGTGAAATGATCTTTACCGACAGAGGTTCTGGTGGTTGCAGAGCTCTGGATAGGAATTCTGAAATGCTTCCAAGGTTTAGACTTTTGATTTGAAGACATAGGGACTGTAAAGGTGTTCTTAAAAGCTCTGGCAATTGATAATCAGCAAAAGTATCATAAACGCATCTCGGATAAAGATGGTAACATTCGCCTGGTTGAACACGACCTGCCCTTCCTCTTCTCTGCAAAAGGCAGTAAAATCTGTAAATACGATCATATAAACCAAAAACTGAATAAGAAATAACATGCTGCAATACGTAAGACTATTGAAGGCAAATCTGGAAAGAAAAATTGTATGCTTTCAGTAATTTATTTTGTGACTTTCTCTTGTTCCTCTATTAGGCTCTCTGTTATCCGAGGTTGTTTCTTTTATTATTCTTTACTTTAAGTTAGTGTTTGGGGCTTCAAATAAAAAGCCCTAGGTTATTCCCTGTTGTTAGACTTTGATGAATTGCTATTGAGACTACTAGTTCGCTATCAACAATCTCTTTTACTCTTCCTTTCTCCCACTCTCCTTCCCCATCCCCTTTTTCTTCCTGGTCCTACATCAACTACATTAAGAAACTGAGTAATATATGTCAACAAATTACAGAAATGTTTTGCCTCATCTTTCATAGTTAGTTGTGAACTAATAATCATAGTCTAGTCTCAAATCAGGGTCAAAAGCTCTAGGCATGAGCATCTGTTTCCGAATTCTATGTCCAATTTAAGATGTGACCATATCTTCAAAAATCAGAACAGGGTTACATTTAAGATACATCATTGATCACATTAATTATCTTACACTGCCGTTAAAACGCATGGTGAAGGAAACATGACTAGAGTATTGACAATTTTAGTTTTGTGTCAAAAGAAGGAGTCATTTAGAGAATTTTTTTTTCCTTCGTTGTTTAATGCACATACAGGACAATTCAACATCACAAACTCAGATCCCAGATGCGGCCAAAAATCACCATTAAATATGTATTCAATTGAAAGGAAAGAGGGAAAAAATATATATTTACATGATAATACTCAACAATTTTAAACTAACCCAGATACCTGCCGAGCAGCAGCCTTTGAGATCCAAGATGGAAGTAAACAAGGAGTATTGTTTAGTGCATCATAAGATGTCTCTTTTGCTTTCCCACAATCAATCACAAAGACAACATCATTTATGGTAATACTAGTCTCAGCCATATTGGTGGCAAGAACTATTTTCCTCACTCCTCCTTCAGGATTTTCAAATATCAACCTCTGTAGATGAAGCAGATCAAACATAATTTTGAGATGGAAGATCAAACAGAAACACAGCTTCAGTAAGAATGAAAGACTATCAAAATGACAAAGCTTCTTCAATAAGAAAAGTGATTGCTATCCCCACCAAATCTGCATTTGAATTTCAATACTAAATGACTTCAAAGTGCATTTCACATATGTTAAACAAAGGAATGGGTTTAGTTATCTATGATGAGAATTCGTTAATTCTTCTTTCTGAATTTGGTTTTTAAAAAATGTATCCTTTTTTTTCTCGAGCAACAGAGAATAAAAAAGAATTTCTTTATCAATTCTTTTTTTTCTAAATTGAATTTGACTTCTAAAAATGTATCCCTTCTTTCTCAAGGCAACCTCAAATATAAAAGATACGACAAGCTTATTTTTAATATCAGAAGACACACTCTTTCCAATATTTTTCAAGTTGACCTACACACTCTATATAAAATAAAACTATTGTATTTTATTGCAAACTAGATTGTGACAATTATAAGTTGTGCTCCCATTCCTATTTATAACAAGCGAGCTCACCTGCTCAGAGCTGGCCATGGAGCCGTGGCATGCAAGAAGCAATACTTTGCTTGGGTCACCCAAAAGAGGATGAGCTTGGAGCTGATCCTTCAAACAATTTATGTCATCCCAACCAGTCATAAAAACCAAAATAGCACCTGGCTTTTCATTCTTGACAATGTGGCAAAGAACATGTTCAATAAGGTTAAAACCAATTGAATCAGGACTCCAATAGGATAGTGACTCCTGGGTGCGTAAGCTGTATTCCTTGAAATCAGCAGCTTCAAGTGCATCCTAAATGAAATCTCAAGGATTAAGGTATATTCATAGACCCAAACAATAAAAAGTCCAGCATGGTTTGTATACCTCAACGACAGAAGCAATCTGTGTCTTCCTTTTTTTCAAAGCTTGAACCTGTTTCTGCATTTTCCATGTCTTCTCTTGACCATAATCATCAATTTGATTATAAGGTGTCAACCGATATTGAGTCATCTCCAGAATATCCTCAAGAAAATGTGCTTGAACTGGATACGTAAAACCCTAGAAGTTTGAGCAAGACACCCCACCCCACATTAACAAAATCCATAAAAGAAAAGGAAAATAAAAACCAAAACAAACCAAAAGGAAAGTAGAAGTAAATCTAGCATACTATCCGCATCATACATGGTTTGTCAATATCAGGCATAAAAACACACAAAAACTGAGAGGAAAATGAAGTTGAACTGCCAAATTGTTGATATTTTCACTTTTTATGCGCTTATGCAATTACTAACTAGAAAGAAAACCAGCAAGTACTGGAAAAACGTAAATCACCACTTTTGAGAAGTTCATGATAAGATCATGTGGCATGTGGGAAAGAAGACATTTACTGCTGAAATAAACTAGTTTTACCAGACTTATTAGCATGACATTGAACAGTGACTAATTTTAACACAAGTTAGAGACATGAATATCTGAGCTTACAGGTATATGTAAAGTTGGAGCCCCACCAAAGTAGGAAGAAAAAAGCTCGGCGTTTAAGGTTGCACTCATCAAAATTAACCTAAGGTCTGGACGGCGTGGGAGAAGATCCTTCAGCACAACAAGGAGAAAATCTGAAAAAAGTCAAAAAAATTGGTAAATATAATATTTTACAGAAAAATTAACAACAGAGAAACAAAAACGTTTAGCTACCTTCATTCATTCCACGCTCATGAATCTCATCAACAACAACATGAGTCACACCTTTTAGATTTCGGTCCACAAGCAGTCTCCTCAACAATACACCTGTAGTGCAAAAAAGAAGACGAGTATCCCTTCCTTTCATACCCTCCAGCCGAACCTTGTAACCAACCTTTTCGAGGATACAGAGTGCAGAAACTGAAGTTACTTATTAAATAACAAAATTTAAATTCAAGTATTGCAATCCTAAGCCAGCTAAATGGATTCAGAAACTAACAGATTCTCCCAATTTTTCCCCACGCTCTGCTGCAACTCTTTCAGAAACAGACATTGCAGATATTCTTCTAGGCTGAGTACAAATTATGCTACAGGCAGCACCACGTGCAGCTTCAATCTCAGACTCTAATATATATTGTGGAAGTTGTGTGGTCTTACCACAACCAGTTTCACCTGAGACCACAACAACCTGCATGTTTCCATTTATGCTATCAAGTATTATAAAATATAGTCCAGCAAAAGCACAATAGGATTCTAATATGGCATTCTCAATTATAACTGGACCTACAAAAGAACATTATTACTTATGCTACCCATTACAAAGTTATTTGTTCAAAGGCCTATAAGTTGTGTTATTGTGAATGTTATCTTCTAATAGCTGCAAGGCATTAAAAAAAATAGTTAATAAAATTCATCATACTAGTGAAATTTCCTATAAGCACACCATGTTTTCAGAGAAAAGTACTTTATTTTTTTCTAATTTATTAAAATGGCGCCAAAATAAAACTATGAAGAGAACATTTCTTGCATTTCTTCAATAACTGACCAAGTTTCCCCATGTGTGCTAGCATCTATTTGTTCTATGTCCATTTTAGTCAACCTTTGTCCTAATAAAATCTGATCGAAAGGGAGCCTTTATCCCCCCACCCTTTTTGGTGAAAAATATTTAGGTGAGTTAGGTCCCAAGAGTTCACTAGAATGATGGATCATGGTAGACCTCAATGCTCAAAAATACTTATAGAGATGGTTACGAATCATTCACTAGCAAAATCCTCATATCAGCAATGGGATTCAAAACCACACTCTAGTGGGGTATAAATCACATCCTTATCAATTGGATCAAGCTTTGGCTTCCTCGTTGAACCACGTAAAAAGAGGTAAGAACATAAAGGTTGGGCCACTACATAACAAAGACCAGAAAGGTGGTAATATGAGCTTAAAGGACCTAGTAGCAACATAAGGGGCAAATGAGGGAAACTAACAACCTTGTACTGACTTGGCTGTCAGAGGAGAGAAAAGAAGGGAGGTATAGGCAAGAATATAGGCAAGTTGCAGTCGAGGATGAAAGCAATACAAAGGTTCTCAATCTAGAAGAGCCTACAGTCTTCAATAGCTAGGAGTTGAGAATCTTTTCTGCCTTTTCTGTTATTTTACATTCCATTTCCAGAAATGTTGCCTTCTACCAAGACTGACACTATGGCAGAACCGTTGTTTATATCAAAGACAGGAAATTTATCAGTTTCAAAATAAAAGGCAAAAAAGAACATAAAAACGCATCAAAATTGATTGATGTGTATGCTAAATTTAAATCATAGACGTTGCGTGTTGTAATTGATATCGAAAGCAGTAGATCATTATCCACTTGCTCCAAAGTGCAACACAGTTCATGCCCACTGAAAATCTCCAAATTTTTCAACAGTGAAGGTCATTCTAAAAAATATAGATTAAAAATTTGCATGCATCATAAACCGTTGTTTCATATGTCCCAATTTATCAATGATCAACAGCATTTTAACAGTAAGAAAAGTATTCTGATTCACAAGCACAAATCTGAGATTATGAACACAATACTGTCTATATTGCTATGTTCTATCCTTTTTCACTGCCTCTTGTAGTAGAATAACACTGCAAAAAAAATTAAAAAGTTACAAATTACAGAAACAGACAGCATATTTTTTTCCTTTTGTTCACCTGGTTCTCTGAAATGGCTTTCAATAATTCATCCTTTGCTTTGAATGCAGGAAGAGTTCTACGAAATCCAAGCATCTTTTGTCCTTCAGGAGACTCCTATAGAGAAGCCAGCATATGATATAATATTTTCGCAATTAATAAAAGAAGAAAGGACATTCACGTGCTGGAAATAAAATTAAATCTGAACTTGCAGTAGAAAAACCCAACTATCATCAGTAAAGACTGCCAAGGACTACTTCAAAAGCTTAAGCTGTTAAGTGAAATATAAGTAATACATACACGTATATACATATCTAACATGCCCCTTCAACCAAAAGCTCTTCAGAACTTGAAGTATCAGCAAAGCGCCTACCAATCGTTGCACTAAAACTTAACTTTATTTGATATAATGGGAGACAGTAAGAATCAAACTCCACACCACTTGAGGAAAGCTCTAACGTCATATTTAAAACCACCTTAAAAAAAGAGCTTACATTGTTATGTTGAAAGATCATAAAAAGTTTATTGAGATCTCATTAGACATTAAGATGAGCACAATCAAGGACATGCGGTTCACATTTCAGAGAGAAGACACAATTGATAATTGCCATGACCTTGATTAAACATTTTCTGTCCATACCACGTGAAATATTTGCAATGCCAACAAACGCACATTAATCTACAAGAGTACTTATAAAATTAAAAACACAACACAGAATGAAGTGCAAACTCAAACGACTATGAAAAATGTGTTATGCAACAGTAAATAAACCTGCCAATCTTCTTGTTGATTACGCAGTTGCAAACTTTTTCGTAGAAAGATTTTCTCCCTGACAACACTATTCTGTGCCAAGGGCTCTGGCTCCTTGAGAATTCCTTCATCTGCAGGAATGCCAGCACTGCTTGATCTATGCAAGGATGCATCAAAAAAGCCTCCAAAGCTTGTAGACTTTTTAGAAACATAAGCATTGAGAAGAGAATCTGCTTCTTTATGGACACGAAAAGGTATGACAACCTGTAAGTGCATAGAAAAAGAGGTTGATCATGCTATGTGCCAGAGAGGACAGAAAATTAACTTAACATCACAGATGTCATAGTATTACTGTAACCACCATTAAAAAGTTACACTTTCAGATAAATAAAACTCCAAAAAGAGGTTTTCTGTACCAAATAATTGTTAAGTCAACCAACCTCACTTATTCAGTCCATGTATACAGAATACAAATCGGGTACTTCATAAGCCCTTAAAAAGGAGGAAGTGACTTCTTTTTCCTTGCACATCAACCCATGAAAAAGAACATAAGAAACGTACAAACTATGATGTAAGACAATACCTCCCTCTGTGGACGCTTATCATCCAGATCAGGTCTGTAATTTGGCAGAGGTTCCTTGCTAAAGACAACTACTTTTGCATATTGTTGGCTGCCAAAGTACATCAGAAATTGGATGGTATAAACTAAAGGAAAGAACAAATTTTACAGAGCTGAGTTAAAGTACCTATATAAACCCATCCTAGTTGCTAAAGCTGAGAGATGCTCAAAATCACGTCTATCCTTTTTCTCCCTTGAAATCACTTCTCGCTCATCCTTGTTGCGAAGAAGCATGGTCAGCTTCCATCTCCACTCATCAATGTTATCAAGGGATGAGCCGCCCTAATAATCAACAGCAAGCAAAGACAATAGTGAGAACATGATCGATTAACACAATTTTGCCCTAATCAAGAAAAAAATGGAAACAACTTGAAAAAAGAAAAAGGAAAAAAATGGTCACCAGTAAGGCCAACAAGGTTTTTTTTTTTTTAATTAAGGGGAGGGGGAAGGGGCCAAAAAGAAACAACTAATAGCTCAAACTTAATACAACATCATCGATCATTTATTCATTATTTAGTTAATAAAGAAAAGCATTTTCCATCAAACTAATAAAGAAATTCTAACTACAAGGACAGATGCAAAGCAAAGCCTTCTAAGTGACATGCAATTGTAAATATGCATATGAAAGTTACAGAAAATAAAATTGCATAGATGTGTCTCTATCAACTTCATGCAAGTGCTTTTTAATTCCATAAGACAGTATTGTCAAACGAAGTTAGACAATATAATGAACAAGGATAAATCATTATGCACATCTCCATATAAGCACAAGTATAATTATAAGCCCAAATGAGAAAGGTTAGCTGATAAGCCAATGACAAAAGATGAGACAATGTTGTCCCCAGTTTAAGATCAGTTTTTTTGGTTTGCATGAAGTGACATGTATTTCAGAAAAGAACATAGTAGTTTTGTCAGCAACGTAATTGTCGATTATTCATCATCCAACACATATTTGGATACAGTTAGCCCATTCTAATTTGTGAAAAAAATTGTCCTATCAAAATATAACAAAATATTATTATGTATCCACTATCCACAAGTTCATCTCCAAATGTGAGACACTAGTTGCCATTTTATCATGAAAATAAGCCATTTCATAGCCTTCATCTATGTAAGTATCAACAGCCTTTTCATCAGAGATGTTTATGCTTTGCCATCAAAAACAAAAATAAGCCTTGTCCTACTAAGTGAGATTGGCTATAAAGATTCCATGACACCATTGTGCTCCATCAAAAATTTTTATCCCATGCCATATTCAAACTTTTGGCACGAGAATTTACCAGAACAATTTCCTTATATCTATATTTTGGTTATTTAAAAAAGCATCCCAGGATGTTGTTAGCAATGGGGAAAATATGATATAAGTAAACAGAACAATATTATTTGAAAGCATCAAGATTAAGCAAAAACAGTGAAGCATATTAAGATATTTAGTGAACCGTAGTGACTTCCAGGTTAGATTCATTTAAGCACAGGATGAAGGACAATAAGAACTTATGAAGTCCCAACGCTGAAACCTAAGTCTTCTATATAACCCTCTGTCAATGTGACTTGTACATCAAATTTCAGGTCAATTTAACAAGGAAAAATTCCACAAACCAACTGTAAGAACAGACTATAACATCATACTAGTTACCGAGCTATGAAGCAACCAAAAATTCTTATAGCAGCTGCTGATTACCTTGCTTTCACTCTAAACGTCAAGGAAAAAAGACACATGACACTAACCATTTGTTGCTGAGGAGACCCCAACTCCATATCAGGATCATCACTAGACACATCCTGGTAAGCAAAACGACCATAGCTGGAGCTCTGCTGATGCCAAAACGGCAAAGCAATGCTCCTCCGCCTAAAGCCCACACCTTGACTCTCCTTCCAATCCACCTCAGTCGTCCTGGAAGGCGCAACGGAGCCTAAAGCCCCTATTGGAGACCTTATCTTTTGGGCCACATGAAAATGTCTCAAGCTAAGTGCAGGAATTCTCAAGGAAAAGGAGAGAAGGGAGAGCCTTCGAGCTCTGTGGGGTAAGAGGAAAAGGGGACCCCTGAGGGCCATGGCCGTTGAAGCAGAAGCGGTGGTTCTGATAAAGCCCTGAAAAGTGGCGGAGTAAAGCATGGCGTTTTGTGGGAGTGACTAGGAAATAGCTTCAGGAACGGAGTTCAGTGGACATTTCCTTCACGACGTCCCCGGAGTCTCGGAGGCAGTGGCTGGCGGGCACGGCGCTGGGGTTTCCCATCTCTAACCATACGGTGTTTTAATTTATTTATTTTTAATTTCTTTTACCCCCTCAGATTGTCCCTTTCTGACGAAAGACACGGAAAATAATTGGAAATTTTGTTGCTCACTCACAAGCTTCGCAACAAGTGATGCGGAGTTACAATTTACAAATACAAATACTTGGAGTATATTTAATTAACCAACAAAGTTAATTGAATTAATAAAAATTTTTAGCTCGCCGCTCATAAAATCATGAGACTCTTTTTTTTTTTTTGGCAAAAGAGATCATGAGGCTTTTTAAGCTTAAAGATATATCATAATCTTAATCAATCTTAAAACTTAATTTATTTTTATTAATTTTATATTACATTGCATTTTGTTATTTTATTTTTAAATTTTTTAAGTATTTTTACCTAAATAATTATATTTGTTATTAACTATCATGTGTGTTATTTCTCATCTCCTATTTAAATAATAAAAAACTAATTTAAAAAAAAAATAAAAATTAAATTAATGATTGAAGTAAATTTAAAAGATTAAAAGTTTTATTATCTTTTTATATATATAGTAAATGTTATTTATATATTTTATTTATATTTTTCACGATAATAAAAATATAAAATCATTATTTTTTATTGAAAATATAAGATTATTAACTATATGTATAGTTTATTTCTTACTTTTTTTTATAGAAACATCCCTTTTTAATTGGGAGAATAATATTTAAATCTTAAAACACTGAATTAATTATAGGAAAAATTATGTATAAATTTCATGAAACAAATATATTTATAAATAGATCTAGTAAAATTTAAAATTCACAGCTAAACTCCTTGAAACTTGAGTGTCATTTAAAATCAGGTTACAAAAATAATAATACCCATATTAAACATGTTTATGACAATCAAATAACTAATTTACAACTATTTCATCAACAATTTATAATTATAATTTCACATATTTAATAATTAAACAATCATGTTTTACAAGCAAAGTTTGATATTAATTGTTTATAACTATTTCATCAGTAATTTATAACTATAATTATATATTCAATAATTTACAACTATTAATGAAGTAATTGTAAATTATTTGACTAATTTAACATATATATGTTCAATAGAGATATTATCATCCTTTTATAGTAGTTTTAAATTATACTCAAATCCTAAGAGACCTAGTTATGACTTTTGAATTTCACAAAATTTATTTATAAATAAATTTATTTCACAAGACATATATATAATTTTTCCTCAATTATAGTTAAATCCTAACAAATTTTTTATAATATTAATTTAAATACTTATAAATAAAAATTTATATTGCATTTTAAAAATTATATTTATATTTAAATACTTGTTTATAATTAAAACCCATAAAGTTATAAATATCTGAACAGTATTTTTAATTAATTTTTTAAAAAATTTATCAAAAACTTAATTATTAGTATTAATTTAGAATTAGAATTAGACCCATTTCTAGCAATTCGACCATGATGCTATAAAAAAAATTATTTACCAATATATTATATTTTTAAAAATATTTTTTCAAATACTACAAATTTTAAAACTTGGCTTCAATGACACTGAGTTTTAAATTTTTTCTTTACAATAATATCAAGCCAAGTTTTGTATGAATTTTTTTGTTCAGAAAAGTATAGAACTTGACTTTTATCAATATAAGTTTTGTACTTATATTTAAAAAATAAAAAAAATTGATGTGACATGTGTGACAAATTATGTCTAACTCTACCTTAATCTTGATTATACTTCATAATTTCTCTTCTCTCCCTTGTTGCTAAAATTGATAATTCAAGCCAAACCCAATAAATCAACCTTAATCAAACCCAAAAAAATTTAAGGTCAAGTTTAGAAAAAAAGATTTTTTTTTATGTTCGTGCCTATTAGCTCAAATACTTAAATAAAAAAAGTATTTTTTAAAATATATAAAATATAATTAAATATTAATTAAATCTTTAAGTTTTAAGTTATTTTATACTAAAATATTATATATTTGAATCCTATACATCATTTAAGTATCAAAAAATATATTTTATATTTTTTATAAAATAAAAAAATTATTAATTACACTCATAATCGAGAGTGTTATTCTATTTTTATTTATAAATTACTCCTAACATTTTCATCAAAATTAAAAAAAATTTACAAATCTCATTAATTTTAAGACAATTAATTAATATTTAATTATATTTTATTGTTCGAGTATTTGGGCAAAATATCTTAATTGTCTTAAATTTTATTTTTTGGGTATTTAATTAATTTTTTTAGGAAGTCTCAACTCTCTTTCAACCTGTGCAAGTAATGTTGAATATGAAGGGAAGCCTCTAATAAGTGCAACACCCGTGTAAACATCAAAAGAAGACAACACAAGACTGAATCACAAGTTTTCAAAAACATAGGAAGCAAATATCTTAATTGTCTTAAAATTAATGAGATTTGTAATTTTTTTTATTTTGATAAAAATATTAGGAGTGATTTATAAATAAAAATTGAGTGTAATTAATAATGTTTTTTATTTTATAAAAAATATAAATATATTTTTTGATATTTAAATGATATATATGACTCAAATATATAATATTTTAGTATAAAATAATCTAAACCTTAAAGAATTAATTAATATTTAATTATATTTTATATATTTTTAGAAAAATTTCTTCTAGCATTCAAGTTAATAAGCACGAACATAAAAAAATTATTTTTTTTTTTAAGCCTAACCCTAAATTTTTTCAATCGTGTTTAGGTTAATTTGTCAGGTTTAGTCTGAATTACCCACTTTAACGACAAAAAAAAATGTAAGAAAAATTATGAAATATAATCATATATTGAGGTGAAATTATAATAGATATAATCTTTCATGCATGTGACATCAATTTTTTATATTTTTTAAATATAAGTACAAAGTTTAGCCTAATAAAACTCAAATTCTATATTTTTCTTAAAAAATCGTAAAATACTGTTGTGTGGGAAAAAAATTAAAACTTGATATTATTGAAGTCAAGTTTTAAAATTTATAATATTTTAAAAAATACTTTTAAAAATATAACATATTGATAAATAATTTTTTTTTTTAGAGTATCATGGTCAAATTGCCCCCATTTCTTTTTTTTTTCCCCCCCTTATTTGCCAAGAGCACTGACTGAACCCTCTCGAACTCCCCGCGTACTACGAGAAGCCTCCACTTCCACTCACTGCTTCGGTTTCTAGGGTTTCGGTTTCGTCTTTGATTTTGTCCTACTTTCCCATCTCCCATTTCATCCCTCTCCATTCTGTCTTCTCGCAAGAGTTTCAGCACTAATCAATGGCTGCGATTGCAATTCCCCAACCTCGAGCTTCAAAAACTGAGTCTTACGTCGACAATAAGCGCAAGGAAGACGTACGCCATGCCAACATCGTCGCCGCTCGAGCCGTGGCTAATGCCGTTAGAACCAGTCTTGGCCCAAAGGGCATGGACAAGATGATCTCCACTGCTTCTGGCGAGGTCATCATCACCAATGACGGCGCCACCATTCTTAATAAGATGGAAGTCCTTCAGCCCGCTGCGAAAATGCTCGTTGAGCTCTCCAAGTCCCAGGATGCCGCTGCCGGTGATGGTACTACTACCGTGGTTGTTATTGCCGGTGCTCTGCTTGAAAAATGTCTTTTACTTCTGTCGCATGGGATTCATCCTACTGTCATTTCGGATTCGCTGCACAAGGCCTCGATTAAAGCCGTTGATGTGCTTACTGCTATGGCTGTACCTGTTGAGCTTTCAGACCGAGATTCTTTGATCAAATCTGCCAGCACTTCGCTTAATAGCAAAGTGGTTAGTCAGTACTCGACGCTGTTGGCACCTCTTGCTGTTGATGCTGTGTTATCTGGTGTCGATCCGGCCAAGCCTGACATGGTCGATCTTCGTGACATCAAGATTGTGAAGAAGCTTGGTGGAACGGTGGATGACACTGAACTGGTGAAGGGATTGGTGTTTGATAAGAAGGCTAGTCACGCTGCTGGAGGTCCTACGCGCATGGAAAATGCTAAGATTGCTGTGATTCAATTCCAGATTTCTCCCCCCAAGACTGATATTGAGCAGAGTATCGTGGTTAGTGATTACAGCCAGATGGATAGAATATTGAAAGAAGAACGGAATTATATTCTAGGCATGATTAAGAAGATAAAGGCAACGGGTTGCAATGTGTTGTTGATCCAGAAGAGTATCCTAAGAGATGCTGTGACGGACTTATCTTTGCATTACCTTGCAAAAGCAAAAATTTTGGTGGTTAAGGATGTGGAGCGAGATGAGATTGAATTTATTACAAAGACTCTGAATTGTATGCCGATAGCAAATATTGAGCATTTCCGTGCTGAAAAGCTGGGACATGCGGATCTTGTAGAGGAGGTTTCTCTTGGGGATGGGAAGGTTGTCAAAATTACTGGTATAAAGGATATGGGAAGGACCACAACTGTGCTTGTTCGTGGATCAAATCAGCTAGTGATAGATGAAGCAGAGCGGAGTTTGCACGATGCTTTGTGTGTTGTTCGATGTTTAGTCAGCAAGAAGTTTTTGATTGCTGGCGGTGGTGCCCCTGAGATTGAGCTGTCGAGGCAACTGGGTGCCTGGGCAAAGGTGTTACACGGGATGGAGGGTCATTGTATTCGAGCTTTTGCCGAGGCACTTGAAGTCATTCCGTATACGCTAGCTGAGAATGCAGGTTTGAATCCTATTGTAATTGTTACTGAGCTGAGGAATCGCCATGCTCAGGGTGAAATAAATGCTGGAATTAATGTGAGGAAGGGGCAGATCACGAACATCTTGGAGGAGAATGTGGTGCAGCCACTGCTTGTGAGTACAAGTGCCATCACCTTAGCAACGGAGTGCGTGCGGATGATTTTGAAGATTGACGATATTGTAACTGTGAGGTAGTGTGGGTTGAACAGTGACAAGTTTGGAGAAATATTTAATCATCATCTTGTATTACTTGCCGTATTTCGAGTTGATAGTTTATGCACCTTTAATGACTTTGCTTAGTGATTTTGACTTGATTTGGTTCCTGTTTTCTTAAAATTTTGTTGGCCTTGCGTTGCTTCTTGTAGTCATTACAAGTCTTTTAACTCATTGTGTTTTGGGAGATTATGAATTGGAGATCTTTTTCTTCGGGCCACTATCATGCTATTTCGTCTTTATCTTGCCCTTACGCTACTTTTATCTTTTTGTTTGACTTCAAGATGAATGGCTGCCTGATGGAATTGATCTATGGTAAGGAATAGTGCAAAATATTTTTTTTTTTCCTTGCATCGGGCCACTACCATGATATGTTTCATGTCTTTATCATGACAATATGATGATGATGTGGTTTAGCGAGCAATTCCTATCCACTCTAGCTGTTACAAGATTTCTTAGTTTCTATGTTAATGGAATGCCAACATCTAAGGATCTTCAAATACATGAACGCTGTGTTGGGATCTGGATTTCTACAGTCTTGTATTAGAATTTGACATTTTTAATGTGGTCTCATCACTTCGTTGAAATCCCAATCTTGCTAGTGTGATACTCAAGTTGGAATCTTTTGGCCATGAAATGCTGATCTGCATATGGGTTGTTCATATTTTTCTTCACCGACTGCTGAGGAAACAACTCATATGACCAATACATTGTACTAGTGATAGAATTACCACAGACTAGGATTCGAGTCTTCCATCAAGTGCTTTTCAACAATATCCAGGTAGCAAATATATTTCCATACAACTTCGGATTCAGATATAGCTGTCAGTGAAATTTACAGTAGCACATAGAGTCTTTCTTTTTCTATTACTCCAAGCGTCTCATTTGACGATACAGACGTACGCCCATAGCTAACAACATTTCTATCCTACTAATCAACTCCAACACTGAATTGACTTGTCTCCAAATGAATCAGCAAGCTTTCCCACTAAAGCATGCTTTTAGCTCGAGCCCTTAACTCTTACAACTGATTGGATAGACTAATTCTTTCAAGCAGAGATGCTGCTGATAGAGGCTCTAAACACGAGTGGTTATGCATATTACAGACACTTGACCGTCACTGAACGTTCTGTTTCTGTGGACAAATACATCTCAGGGTATGTCTTCTGCAGCTGCATCAGCTTTTCTATTCTCTTCAGAACTAAGCAATGGCTTGGTTAATGATGGCTCCTCTGGAATAGCCATCCGTTTTTCATTAGTTTTGCCCCACAGGACCGAGTAGAGGCCAAGTACAATAAGAATTGCACCTACAACACTGCAGTAAGACAAATTCATCAGTTGTAATTAAAAAACTAAAAAAATGTAACTTTTATGTTTAACAAGTTTTCTGCGTACCCTCCAGAGTATAACTGATCGCCAAGTATCAGGGCTGCCATGACAGCAACTAGAAACGTTTGCATTGGCTGAAAGACAGCAACAAACACTGGACCACCTTTCTGAATGCACCATGTTTGGAGAGAGATAACGATGCCAGATGCTACAACTCCCTGTAATGATCACACAACACTGAGTTGAATAGAGTTTTATACTTATAATTATCTCATTAAAGAAGTGAATAGTATTACAGCGTATAGGATAGTAAAAAGCTCCTCTGTGGATTGTATCTTCCAATGTTCCATATCAGTTTCTACGAAGGCTGCTATGATCAAGAACTGGATCAATCCAAAGAAGCATGTAAATGACGTGAGTGTTAGCTTTGCTGGATACTTCTTCACCACAGGAGCCTGCACAGAATATTGCTTATTAACAACTTAGGGTACATGAATGATTAATTGGATGAGACTAGTAAAACTTAGTGTTTTACTTCGATGTAGGACATTGCATGTCTACATATCAGCTTTTTTTTTTTTTTCCCCCTGTTGTGCTATTTGAAGATTTTATGATCATTATGGGTAGACCTGAAAAACCATCCAGCCAGCCCATGATAAACAATGTCCAAGCAAGTATATGCAACCCCATGACCAGTTTTGCATTTTCATGGAAGATTGATTTGCTTCTGATGTAGAGTCTGCTTGAGTATGGTGCATCTGGTGAAGAAGAGGAGGTCCTTTGTAGAGTGTGATCACAGAAGCACCTCCAACACTGGCAATGGTTCCTAGAACTTTTGCCAGACCATCTCTTCTTGCAATGTTGAGTTCCTCAAGCCTGGTAGAGAATCATAAAATCATCAGGAGATCAAAACAGAGAATGATGAAAAATGTAAAAATGTTTAAGGGGAAAAAATTTTTGATACCTTACAGCTGAGGCCATGACAAAAGTGATGGCAGGAACAGAGTTTTGCATTGCAGAAGCAAACGTTGGGGATGCATAATATAATCCCAACAAGTAAAACCCTTGGTTTGCAGTAATTCTACAGTAAAAAAAAATCAAGAAGAACAAGAAAAGATGAGAAACAATAGGAAGGAAAATAAGAGCGTGAAGAACTAAGCTTATTTACATGCTTACCCCAGTAATGCTAAAAGAAAGAACTGAACCAGCAAAGAAAAAGTAAGAGGTGGTCTTTGATTCCTGAGTACAGTGACACACAACATTTGTTCAGATTTAAACTCCACACATGACATGAAGATATGACAGAATATCAACGGGAAAGGTGAAGACAAGCGTCATATAGAAACTCACTTCTCTAAGAAATAAGCAAGAGGGCTCAGCAAAAGCAGAGCAATTATATTCCTATAGACAGGATAAACAACTTTGCTGACACCAATGTTTAGGGCAAGTCTAGACACAATGTGAAATCCTGCAAAGCAAAACTGGAGAGCCAGCAATGCCGCAAGAAGTTTCACTTTTTCTGTCACAACACTTCCCATTCTGGTTATTTCTTCAAGACTTGTTAGTAGTGAGGCACAACAACGAAGGGGAGGCACTTAAATAATGAATAGTCTTGAAGGGACTTTGAAATTATACATTTGTTTAAGAATTTCAGTGGTTAGTTACATAGAAAAAGTAATAACATTGATGCTGAGTTATATGCATTGACTCGAAAGAAAAAGTAATAACATTGATGATGAGTTATATGTATTGACTTGAAACTGAATATTTTGAAGGGAGACAAAGGGAAGGTGGATCATGTTAGCCAGGTAGTTATATAGCAGCCAAACTCTATCATTTGTAAGACCATGTTCCCACCATCCCCTTATCTCACTATTCTACTGAGACTGTTGCGCGGATCTATGATTTTAGTGGAATCCATATATATATATATATATATATAACATTAAATATAACCCAACCGATAGCTGATTATTTTTAAAAAAAATGCAAGGACATTTAATGATGCTTATTAATGATAAACTGAGGTAACCCTCTTTTGATTTCATTTCAATGAGTGGCTCTCTACAATACTTAAATAATTGTATATATACTGTCTTTTTTCTTTTCTTTACAACACATTCTTTTTTATTGTTCTAATAAAGTATGACATAGTGCAACCTACATAGTTGATCTTGCCTAATAGGATAAGGCTTCTTGTTATTGCTATTGTTTCTCTTTTATTATTGTCTGTAATATCATTACTGCAAAAGTGCATTTTCAACAAAAAAATTGGAAGAAGAACAGGAATAAAAATTGAAGAGGGCATGTGCACTGTTTATGATTTAGGCATTGTTTATGATTTATAAAGGCAAGAAGATGTCTTGGAAGGGGCAAATCACATGTGCTAAACTCTCTATTATGACCTGAAACTATTATCTTGCCCTGTCATAACCACCTAACTGCTGCTGAGGGATATCCCTTTCCCCTAACTGCATTTGCAGCCTGAAATCATTCCTTACTTTATTTTATGAGAAAAAATATAACAGTGGGTTCCAATACTTTTGATTGTGTTTTGTTTTTAAACTCTATAATTTTATTTTGTTATTCTCAATCCCTTTAATTTAATCAATTTATAATGTTAGTCTCTCAATGGCGTCTTGCAATCCATGTAGCCGACCCCACCTAGTGGGATAAAGGCTTGTTGTTGTTGTTGTTGTTGTTATAATGTTAGTCTCTATAATTTTAAAAATGCACATAAAAACAATGAGTTGGAACTAATGGAATTAATGTTCATTGCAAATCTGCTAATTCCTTTATTGACTTGGTAAAAATATGTTGACTGGGAAATAAATTAACTGGGTATGATTAAACATAAAAGATAAAGGAAAAAACACATTCTTTTATATTTGCCTTAAAAAATGTAAGAGACAGAGGAGATTAAGAATAAGTTAGCAAAGGGGTTAACAAAGTTAAGTACATGTTCTCAACAATAAACTCAACCGGTGTCGATTCATGATCAAAATACAATTGTCAACTGTTATATTTTTCCTTTTTTTTCTGTAAATTATAATTTAATTAAATCAGGGCTTAGTAAGATTGTGTAAAGGAGAGTTAAACTTCATTTATAAATATCAATTATGAAGGTATATTTCATATGAAACAAGACTTGACTTTAGTGTTTGGAGTGAGTTTGATGACTTGAGTGCAATCTTTCCACTTTGCCACTTCTTGCTTTCCTCTTCCACTCATACAAATTTCACATGCTTGATTAGAAGATTTGAATTTCGGGTGAAATGATTAGACGAAAGTTATGTCTCACAAAATGTCCTCCTCCTCGAATAAAACCCATTGTGTGTGTGTGTGTAAAATATTTCAGACAGAGAAGCTAAAATATAATTTATTCATGAGGGCCGATATATCTTAGTAGATCATGAGGGAGAATTATTAATGGGGTGTGCTTATTCATGAACCTTGTTTAGATTGGGAGATTTAACAACCACAATAAAAGATGCAATTTGACAATTTCGTAATCAATTGTGTGTGTGTGAGAGAGAGAGAGAGAGAGAGAGAGAGAGAGAGAGAGAGAGAACTTCTAATTGAGAAATGAAATTATGCTTTTATGCCTTGCGGATTCTTCCGCCACAAATAAGAAGTAACAAGATATGTTTACTTGAATTATAAAATTCACACTCATATGCAGTTTGTCGCAAGGCTCATTATTTGCTTTGACCAAACTCGCATCTTCATGGCTTCACAAAGTCATTTTGTCATATTTGCTTGCAAGAAACTCAGAATTTGTAATTACGCTTTCTGGGTGCATGAATCAGTCTATTTTTTTTAATAATTTTTTATAAACCAAAATGTAGGCTCCGTCAATAATAAAGATTATCTCACTTGAGATATTGAAAGCAAAAGATAGACTTCTCCTAATTAAGTTATAAGGATGCTTGAGACATAAATTTATTTCTTTTGAATTTGTAATTTGATTATACGTTATTGGGGAATGGATCTCATGAAAAAGGAAGAAACGAGAGACTGATTTAAACCTCCTGTAGTGTTTCGTCGGGAAATAGAGAGAGATTTTTGAAAAATGAATAAATTCCACCAATGTGGATTTATATGTGCAAAAGTAATGTCTGTAGTTTCGTATTCTACTTTCAAAAGATCAGAATTATATTAATATTTTTTTCAATTGCAGAAACAATCCCCATTTGATTGGGAAGTGCACATTTATGATTAGAGTCCCTACTCCAAGATTTCCGCAATCAATTATGAGAGCCATTGAGATCCGCTGAATAAATAGGTGAGTACTCTCAAGTTTCTAATTCATTATGGGAGTGATCGAGATCCATTACATGGTCTCTTGCATTTGAGTTTGAAACCAATCAAATCATCTTTTTTTTTTTTTGTATAAAAAAATGTACCATCTTTGTCTCTATAGACACAAAATATGTGAAAACCACTTAAATGTCCATTGGCTACAGGGAATAACAAATGCATTGATTGAATGCCTCGTCAAGCAAAAGCTTATAACATACTTTTTAACATTGCTTGATCTCTTTTTTCGTATAAAAAAATTTAAATGAATTGAAATCTTGAAAACTTCTCAAAGTCCAAAAATGTCTCCAGACTTCAAAAAATACTTATAAAAATATTTATAGATTGCTTATTCACAAACTCCTCACGTCAACAACAAAATTGGACCCTCAACCTTATACTTTATAAATTACATGCATATCAACTAAACCAACGTTTATTAATACCTCGATCTTTTAAATGCTACTTTTTATTTTCATTTTTTCTCCCATGCGGGTTCCCCGTAGCCCTTTATTGTAAAAAAAAAAAAACATCAACGGTTACAGACAGGACAAGATGTTGAGAGGATCCATACCAAATATAACACACACACTGAATCATAATCAGTCCTTAATTCTGGTGCCAACCACTTCCATTGGATATCTACTGAACTACTAATTTGCATCTAAGGTTGTCTTTTTCTTTTGGAACTGAGTCGCTTTCTTTTATTAATTTGCTGGCCAAACCCCTCAACTATGCAAGTCTACTGTATGATTTAAAGCTGGAATTTATATTAACCAAAAAACTTCCGCTTTCCACATATATTATCAAAATTTCAATAATCATAGAGTTTTGATAGGTTGCATGCCACTACAAGTAAACAAGCCTACTAGTAGATACCTTGAATTAGTACCTTGCCCGATACAATGATCAATATTGTTTTTTAAACCGTGCCTACAACAGATTTGGGAGACTAAGCAAACCAGGCATTGTACATTGGCCTTCAATGCAGTAGTCCATAACAGTCCCCATTTCTATCTGACAACCCAGCAGCAATAAATATCTCAGACTGATGGTCGCTTGGCAACTATTTACGCTTGAAAACAATTACAATTGCAGTGCAATTATCCTTACAGCGCCGTTCACGAACGGCTTCCCTAACAAGATGGCGGCTCACAGCTGTCACAGGCAACCCCTCCTGCAAAAATTCATTGGATTTTTTTAGTGTGCAACACAACTCTGTGAGCAGGAAAGAAAAATGGCAAATCTTAGTCATGGATAGTTGAGATAATATTCTTGACCAGATCGTGAAAAAAGAAAGAGACAGCTTCCAACTCCATTTTAATAGTATGGTAATAGTCAATTGACCAATCAAACTCATCATTACAAATTAAATAGCCGCAACAAGAAAGTAAGACCTTCACTTTCCTCCTTTTTTTTCCCTTATTTTTTAAATGGAAGCGGGGGGAAGCATAGGAGAACTTCAACAGATGATAAAATTGTCATTCCAATTCATTCAACCGTGAAAAAAAAAAAAAGAAAAGGAAAGGAAAAAAAGGAAAAAGAAGTATAAACTAAGTCTTACACTCAATAGTTTCTGAACAAAATCAACTGCATCACTGGGACCAAATACCTGAAACAAACCCAACAATGCCATTTTTGTCAGATCCATCAAGTCAAGCCCAAAAAAAATGAATGAAAAAACCAAAATTGTAGCACGCATGAATATAAAAAGACATACCCCCCACAGGCCATCACAGCCAAGGATGATAAAATGCTCTCTATCAGTAAAGTCAAAAGAATGGATATCTGGTGTTGCAATTACACCCACCTGAAAATAGTTCCGCTTATGATATCTACTGATATTATACTGAAACACTAGTAGTTTAGCCAATAAAAGTAAAATAGTCCAATTATGTAGAAAGCAAACGTGATGATATTGAAGAACGCAAAATAAACCTTTTTCCCAGGTTAAAGACAATATGGATTTAGATGACACAGAAAAGGTATCCAATTATGTAGCACGTCTTGAATGAAAATCTTTTCATGGTATCAACAAATCTTTATGTTACAAGACCAGATCAATAGTCCAAGAGACTAAAGGAGATTTTCTGTAAGAAGTCATCATTCAAAGAAATATGTGATATTCAGAACAGAATTAGCACAATAATTCTCCATAGAGTGCCAAATCCAGTCTTTTAATTTCAAATTGGAGCTTCAGAGATTTTTTTTTTTCCCTAGCAACAGGAAGATAAAGTAACCTTTCCAAAGAGATTGAAAATCAAACCTTCTTGAACTGGCGATCACCAAATGCCCTAGAAACTTCTAGACGCCCTTGCAATCGTCCATTGGAGCCCACAACACCGCCAGCCTGCAAGAACAGTACCACCAACTTTGTCTGACTATCATTATACACCATCAAAATAAGGAACAAGGACAAATTTTAACAAAATAATCAACTTCTGAAGAAATTTGGGCACGCTAAATTAAAGACAGCTTCAGGGAACGCACTCACAAATGCTGTAAAGGTGTTCCACACAAGGCCCCAAGCAAAAATTAGAAAAAGTGGCCCACTTGTTTTTATCATCAAGATAAATATTAGAGAAATGCAAAGTACATTATTCCGGAACTTTAGGAACCTGCATCAAGATAAATATTAGAGAAGTGCAAAGTACTTTATTCCGGAACTTTAGGAACCTTCCTTTTAGAATTCTCTTCAGCAAAATACAAAGCTCTACTCTGTGCACCAATTATTTCACAATCCTTTAAGCTTGGTTCATCAATTAGTCATCACTGCTTAGCTGATGCTTGGACCCTTAATTATTAGACAATCCAGATTGAGTTTCATGAGTCCTCAGTTATTGCAGCTTTTTACAACATCAAAATCATTCTCGGCTGTTAATCATTATATAGCCACTTAAATTAATCTCAGAGAAAGCATCACTTTGGTCAATTATCAAAGTGGATTGTTAGTTACTGGAAAATAGGGAATGAGTGGAGTGGCAACCTTAATGAATGCAAGGAATTATTTGTCTACGGTATGCCATGAGCACTAACAAGCAGCAGCTACTGCTATGCTATTATAGTAATATTAGCATTCAGCATTGATGCAATCCAAACCTTCTGAATGCGAGCCCGCTCCTGTGGGTAGATTGCCTTGTGTTCTCTTGTCAAAACAATGGCCTTCAATGCATGGATGCCATCTGAGTGATTTTCCGATCCATCAGTTGTAGCTGACCGAGCTAATACTGCCTTGGCATCTCCTATATTTGCAACAAAAACCTAACAAACATCCATAGAACAGGAAATTAATTCTCTTTCCTAATTTTGTTGCAAATTGTTTAACAGAAAATCTACACTTTTCTAATGGTATTAGCCATGACAATTATCTGCAACATCTATAGGCCCAACAGTGATGGCATTCAAGCAGCATCAGACAAAGCGTTAGAAACTACTAAGAGCATGTTCATGAGATTCTCTCTGTTATGTTGATTTTGTTCGCCTCTCTAAAAGGAAGACATTGAAGTAGGAAAGCTGCTTCTCAATTAACTACAATTGTGAATCTTTGACAGTCATCACGGTTAATGACTCACAAGTTTAATAATTGCAATTATGTATTATTTAGCCACTTCTTGCATGCTTCTCTTTGAATGGTTACACATTAGTAGTCATCCTCAGTCTCCTTTTCCACCTTCCATAATAGTAATAATAAAGACCCAGAAATTTGAAAACATATATAAAGATGGCATCCGCCAATATACTCTATCCTAAAAGCACAGGAATACAAAAGTGTTATGTTGTCAAGTTGGAATAACTGCGTGGCTCAAATAAGATTGGGAATCAAAAATAAATATTACTCTATAGAAGCTTAAGGTTATATTTTATAAATAAAAACCAGTAAACACAGATATGCAACTTAGATGATAAGCTTTGTTACAAAAATTAATTATATCACAATATGGTTAATATAAGAACCACTGTTAAAGAATGCACGATGCCTGAAACCCTGAGGATACGATTTTTCAATTTTAAAATTTGAGTTGTTTGAAAAAATAAAATAAAATAAGAAACTCAAGACTTACCTTTTGTCCCAATAACCAGACACATACAGCTGTAGCACCATCCTGCCATCCCCCTAGTAACAATTAACAGAATTCAGCAAGACAAATATAATCTGAAGTGAAGCTAATAAATTATTAGTCATTAAACACCTTGCCTGAATCTGAAATTCAAAGACTTGAGTAAGGAAATACACAAACGCTGCGCATCATTTTGCATGATAGTAGGAAGTTACAATTGATAACAAAGTCAAATACCAAGTTGAGTCAATGGTCCATTACATGAAGGGAGAAGGTTGCTAAACTTGGATGTCCGCTTCCACAAAACATAAAACATAAGCCAGTAATGACATGTTTTGTTTCTGGTGCCTTTAGAAGCATGTTTATTTTTTCTTCCATTTTGTGCAAAATTCTATCATTCATGACTCCTTATGATAAGAGCTTCTCAGAATCCCAAAAAAAAAAAAATTATGTTAAGAATTTCTAGAGATTGGCCAACATGTGAGACAAGGAGACAATCTCTCTTAGAAGGAGTTTCATTAGGATCTAAAGGTGATAGCGAACATGGTTACAATCCACAAAACCAAAAAAAAAAAGGGCATAAGGGTCAATTTCTCAGCGTATTACTTATTCTTTATCTAAAAACAAAGTCTTCAAAGTTCTTTTTCCTTAAATTAAATTTCGTAAAATAACATCTGTAAGCTGCTACTTTCAAGAGCTGCCACTACCTAATCAACATAACAGTAGAAGTTTAAAATACAACAATCCATCTAAATTAAACATACCTGCAGCACTTTCTTGAAGAAGGGACTCATCTGTTTTGCGAAAACCTAATTTAGAATAAAACAATAAAATGAAAGCATTTTACAACCAACAGGACAGAAGAAGAATAAAGTAGAAAAACGACAAAATGATTCCACTCGGCAAAACAACAAAGAGAGATTTAATTGGAAAATGTGAAATGAATCCTTACCTTCGAGTATTGCTCTTTTAGCTACCTTTACATCTAACTGCAACACAGCAACGCAGTGGTCAAACAAGAAACAAAGTGATTAGATACAATAAAACGATTTGAAGTAGAGTGCAATAAGAAGGTGAAATAGATCAATTTATTTTATCAAACAAAATAAGGTCCAAAGATCAAATATTAGCAAAAATAGATAGAAAAAAAATAAGTATTTTCTGATAGTATTTCAAAATATTCTACACTTTGCAACAAATGTCACCATTCTGTCCATATATCTTATTGCAATGCTGCTTCTAAACAGTTATCGGATGGCACCTTTGCTGCTCTTAGCTTGCCAATTCAACATAAACACCAGCAATATCAAACTGGCTGTCAACCAAAGCTCAATAAGATCCATAGCATATACAATAACTTAATGCTCAAGAATTTCTTTTCACAGAATTAACTCAAACAATAAAAAGAAATCTCATGTCCATGCTTCATAGCAACTGAGTAAAACCTTCTAAAGGAAAATAAAAGGCTATACTGTCTGGTCTACCCTCATCTGAATAACAAAAGCAAGGATTGTTCTTATGTCTTGCTGCTTCAATCAACGAAAAGATAAACGCATTTAGCTTTCATAAACTCTTGGATCTATCAAATATGCTGCATAGCTATCCTTATATGCTCTCACATATGGCCTTACTGAGGACGTAAAATAGAAAACACCTAAACAGATTAACAAAGCATGAATCAACCAATATATCATTGTGTATCCGTAATTGCTATAATCTTAGTGCCTGAACGGTTTTGTATGCATGAAATTAGACCTAGCAAACACACCAACTCACGTGGTAATCCTGTCGAAAGAACATTTTCATGCAAATGCTTTTGAGCATATTCAGCAGCCAACCGGCCTCCATGTCCATCATAGATTGCGAAGTGTGCACACCTGTAAACCAAGCACTGGGAATTACCAAGAGAAGCTAGATAAATTCAGAAACATTAAGCATGCACTCAAAGTAGTTGAAATTATGAACCAAATTCTGAACCATGCAGGCCACGGAGAAACATGTTGATATATTATTACACATTTACACTTGAAAAAATTGCCCAGGGACAGAAGAATACCGAAAATCTGATCCCCACAAAGAAATAAAAAACTTAATGCATAAAACGGGTCCATCAGTCACCTAATAACTTCAACCATACACTGACTAGCAGTGAATAGATGTTGATAATCATATCGCTGGTAAGTACTTTACTGTTCAGTACGAGAAATTTTGATGTTTCATTTCTTACCCTCGTTGTACTGAAACCAGTAAACAACTAATGATAGGCCTTTTATCACCAAAACACACGCGCGCGGTGTAACTCGAAATATTTTAGTAATGAAAAGAAAAATGAGAAGAAAAACCTCAGTTTTCCAGGATGATCTAAACTGGCGTCCAAAATCACTACCCAGGCATCTTCCATCGTATGCCTAGACCCCTTATCCTCAGCTGCATCCGCCTCAATCTCAAAAGTTAGTTCCTTTGCGTTCTGTTGACCTGAAACAGCTCCTGAGTTCCCTTCTTCACTGCCGGCAGCTTCAGTTCTCGATTTTTTCGCAGTCGGATCATGAGTTTCTGAATAAGCCTCCCGCTTGTGATTAGGGTTTGATTTTGGGTCCTGAGGCTCCACATTTACACTCCCAATTGCACTGGCAGACTGAGACTGCGAGCTTAAGCTCATCTTCAGGGTAGAATATTCTTTGCAAGTTACAGAAAGAAGCGGCAAAAGCCCCAATTATAAAACGACGAAAATACTGGAACCTGTCACGGGCAGGGATTCGGGAATGAAGAAGCCTATAGTATACGAATACATACATATGGATGACGCCGAGGTTTTCTGTTTTATTTAATTTTTGGCTCGCAGAATGCGAATTTCTTTAAAATAGAATTTATTAAATTTATTATTAGAATGAAAAATAAAGGCTTATTTTAAAATATTTTCATTTCATTGTCACGGGGAACTGATATTTTATTAAATATCTTCTTCCACCTTCTTTGACAAAAGAGAGGAAGTCAGAATTACCTAAGTAAGGTCCCTTCTTGCTATGCAAGGCCATTCCTGCTCCAGGACTAGGATAAGTCCCATTTGTAAAACATTTTTTTTTAAAAAAAAAAGTAAAAATAAGTATTTTTTACATTTTTTATCGTCTTCAAAACAATAATCTCAAGGTACCTAAATTTTTTTATTTTTTATTCTTCATAATAATATTTAATTTTTAAATTTTTTAAAACATTTTTTGAAGACATGTTATTAAATATTTTTTTATTTTTTGTTTTTGAGAACAAAAATTATTTCTAAAACAAGTCGCAAAACAAGCCAAAAATTAAGACACAATCAGTGTACAGTAAAAGACTTGAAAAAAAAAATTAAATAGCTAAAACTAGTTTATATCTTTGCTTTTAAAAAATAACTAGACACAGCCACGCGGGTTTTACAATGTAATTTGCTGGATACAAATATACAATAATCAAATTGTTAAATATTAAAATATTTCAAAAGGAATTATTATAAATTGACAATATTAATTATTATTTAAGTCTATTTATTATTTTGTAACATATAATTTAAATAATATTATTATTTAAAACTGTTTTTAATTGTGATTAAGGTGATTTTATTACCTAGCATTATAAGATCTGTCTATAAAAGTAATGCTTACTACAAGTTCAATGAAAGCCTTGGTACTCTTAGCTTTTCTCCCCTCTTCTATCATATTAATTTATTATGCAGTTACTTGAGTATATTCTATAAATTTTTGTTGTTCTATGTCTCTACTTTTAGTATAAAGAGTCTATTTAATTGTGAAGGCTGTCACACAATTAACCTGATATGATGGAATAGTTCTTAAAGTTTAGCATGACTAAGACTATAATTTTACCTGCTATTGCCAATAATCTTAAGACTATTTTCTAGCCACTTTCCTGATTAATGGCTACAAAAATGACATTCTTCGCAACATTTTGGGTTATTACTACTTGTGTCGGCAAAACTTATTGAAAAGATTGTTGAGAAGGTCTTAAGAAAGCCCATTCGTCCATACTTTACCATAACTTGCATAAATGAACAACTTAACTTGAAAGGAGCTCACTTTCTTCCAAGTTAAAAGGCTATTCCTATGGTCACTCATATTGGGAATGGAATGATCGATAGGCACGAAAGCTCTCACAAATCGACTTTGAGAAGTCAAATGGAAATACTTTTAATACCAAACCCTCATGTCATGAGGCTAATGAATTTAGTTGTGTTAACTAAGGGATTGTTTTGGTGGTTGGATATGTTTCTAATCTCAAAATGAGTGCAATATCATTGGCCCACCTAATGGTGATTTTGGACCCAATAGAAGGGTATACAAGGTAAGGCATGATGTTTATGAATAAAGTTGAGTGTTGAGGCACATGTGAGCACAATTACAAATACTCAAATAGGTAATGGTGTATATAATTACCAACAATGCAAAATTGGCCTTAAAATTTGAACTTACTTAAGACCTGATGTGGCAGTGCATTTAAGTGGAACACTAAAGGATGAATACCATACAAATGATAGTGGTATGTACGTTGAGAACTTCCTTATGTAAATTTTTGAATTCTACTATCATGGTATATACTTTGACATATGGTAAATAAATTGAGGAACAACTTATTATTCAATCACATTAAGATATCTTCAATGCACAATTACAATTGAAGGTCTTTATTGTGCATATTTTAGGATTTAAAAGTTACAGGTTTGATTTTAATCTTATATTATTACTTTCAAATGTAATAATAATAATGTGCGGATTTTTGGTGGTGGCTTGTTAGTTCATGGTAATCAGTTTTTAAAACAGAATGGTGTTATAGTGGTGTGTGCTTATTATTGAATTTTGACTACTACACCATTATCGTCTGTTGCAATGAACGAATTTACAGTTGGTTCTACAACGAAAGGTTTTGCCTTCGGTTTAGTTAGAGAGAAACTACTATTCAATTGAATGTATATATGTGAAATTTTTTGAGTTTGAGAAATTAGTTTGGCCTTCTTTTGCCCGTTTAAATATTTATATATGTGAGTGCCTGAATAATGCAACAATTATCCGTTTGAACAATTTTTATTTGAAAACTAGTTTCTAATCCCGTGCATTGCACGGGCATGACCTATATAAATTATTTATATAAATAGATGTTAGAAAATATAAACTTTTAAAATTTCAATTCAATCATGATTTTTACATAGGTTTTAATATAAATTTAATTTTTAATGTGAAAGATGTTGTTAAGGCAATGAAACATCAAGTCAAAGTAGGAGATTCTAATTAATGAGGATTGCAACTCCTATTGAAGCAATAGATTATAATGACAATAAACAAACCATGGTAGACTAAAGAATTTTGTAATCATTGAAATGTATATTACCACTGAATAGGCAATGACAGTCTCAGCATGAATACAATCTCATTTGATTCTTTCAAAAAAAAATGAATTCACTGGAGATTTTGGAAAACTTCCTTAAAAACAACATTTGTTGTGACAGTCTTTGGTTTGAAATCTTCATCATGTATAAGTATTTTAAGTCCATCCATTGATTTGACCCTTAAAAAAGCAACATAAAGCTAGCCATGAGAGAAAACAGGCTTAGGTAAATAAACACCAACATTTGACAAAGATTGTCCTTGACTCTTATTTATTGTCATTGCAAATGATAGAACGCATGGAAACTGTCTCCTCTTCATTTGAAATGGTAGATTGCATTCATAAGGATTCAAATCCATTTGATGAATGTAGACTTCTTCCCCAGGCTTTGATCCATTAAGTATGATTCCCTTTATAAAGTGGTCTCTCAACAAAGTAACACGAAGTCTTGTTCCATTGCATAGTCCATTAGCTTGATCAATATTTCGCATTAGCATGATAGGAACTCCTACTTTAAGAGTCAATTTATGAGTAGCCAATCTTGAACCTTCAATTGTATTGAGGAATTCAGTATCATAGATGTCGTCAAATGAATCTGAGCTGTAGTCAGTCTTACATATTGAATCTGAACTGAAGTATGTAATAGCCTCACTAGGAACTATGAGTAAATGAAATTATTTAACTATCTACTATTTCTAGAGTTGGAGCAAGAATTTCTCTTTCTGTGAAGAATTGTGGCTCATTGTATTTTTCACATAGCTTTGGATAAATGAAGTCAACAATAGCTTGCAATGGATTAAAGAAGTCAATAATTAACAACTCTTTTAGAAAAGTGATATCATATTTACCATTAGATGAACTGCTGTGATCTCTATCCCTAACACTGAGAAGCCATTTTGAAAACTTAGTTATTTTATCCATTTCACAACTTGATGTTATAGTATATAACCTCATATTTTTTGTGAGCTTAAATATCTTGCATTAATACCAAAGATATGATGAGTTTAAAGATGCATTAACAACATTTGCTCTATCACCCCTAAGCAGTATAGGGAGTATTTGGTAAAAATCACCTCCAAAGACCACAACCTTTCCTCCAAAAATTCTGTCATCATGCATTATATCTTTTATAGTTCTATTAATGCTTCAACACAATGCTTCTTAACCATAGGAGCTTCATCCCACACAATTAAATTAGTATTTTGTATAAGTGTTGCAATAGATGATCCATGCACAATATTGCAAGTGGAGTCTTCAGTTACATTTATGGGAATACAAAACTGAGAGTGGGCTGTTCTTCCAGAAGGTAGTAATGTTGTTGCAATCCCACTGGAAGCAACATTCAAGACAATCCTTTTTTGGGACCTTATGAATGCAGTGAGAGCATTCCATAAAAAAGTCTTCCCAGTCCCTCCAAAACCATAAACAAAAAAGAATGAACCTTCTTTTGAGTTCATTGTAGACAGGATTTTTTCATAAATCTCTCTTTGTTCTACTGTTAATTGTTGCTCAAATCTGTATCTCTTAGAAATGTACAACTCAATATCAAAACTTAATCCTTCCATCATCAAGTTGTTGACGTTATCATAGTTAATACTACATTCAGGCTTTGGCATCATTAGGAAATCATCAAGTGACCTTCCATTTTGCATTAACATTTTATTAATCTCTGTAAGAGAAGCATTTTCCCTATCTTTGTCTAAAAAAATATTACCTGCAATAGAGATAAGGTCAACTGTGAAAAATAGAAACTAATTTGCATGTGGTTATAAGAAAACAAACAACAATATCAATATGCATGGAAATATAAGTTATTTCATTAAAAAGACACATACCAGAAGTATGCTGGTCTGCATGTGGACTATAAAAAATATCTTCACAAATTAGACTTGATACTTCACTCTAAACATGTTTAGCTGGCTAAGACAGTTATTCATTAACATGATTGAAAAGAATCTTCTAAGGTATAAGCCAGATGCCCAAACGGAAGCCTCTTTAATGGCATCTATATACTCTTGATCATCATTTAAAAGTCCTAGAGCATAGCATGCTGATCTAAAAGTTAAAAAGACAACATTATTAATAGTCCTCAACTCTTCATATGACTTCAGAGACCCTTTCCTTAGTTAATAGACATTTCAGATAGTAACTTTCTCCCTGAGAAGGGAATGCATGTGCAATTCTTCCAATTGAGAACCCTTTCTTACGTGATTTCTAGATCTTAGTTTTCTTGTCAAAAACATAATGAGTAGGAAATTCTGCATATGTGAGAGTTCTTGCAACATCATCTTTTTCATCAACATTCTTTTCCATCCAAGCTGTAAACATGGATTCTTTTACAGTAGCTCTATCCATCAAGCTTGACACATTATCTTTTGCTTTGTATATTATTGATTGTCTATTAGGAAGATGGTAGCTTAATCTTTCAACTAATGGAAACCTATGATGGATATCAAATCCAAAAATCCTCCAAGAACCTTCACATATAGATATATATCTGCAATTTAAATAATTTGCAATCTCATTAAAAACCATCTCAGAATTGCTATCGTTATTATTATTGTACAATCCTGCTATAACCTTGTCATCCCCCTTGCTAACATACTTGAAAAATACTTTATTGATGTAGACTGATTGGTCTTCTCAACATTTATATAGGCTTAAAACAGAAGCAATAACCTAGGATTGTAAGGTACAATAAAATGATTGTCTAAAACTACCCCTTTCTTAATGATCCTCCTTCCATCATTCCTCCTACGATAAGTTGGATAACCTTTCTCATCAATAACAGTTTCATCAACAAATTTTTTAGGAAAGTATTTTATACATTTACCATCTTTCATACATGTAGATGTTGGATTTGATAGACCACATGGTCCATGAGTCATGTAGTTGCATACTAATTCATATAACATTAGATCTTGATCCTTATCTAGAATTTTATTGAGATTAGTTTGTCTACCTCTTCAGGATTCTTTAATTTGTCCTTATCTTCCAAAAATAGAATGATGTGAGCATATGGTAGTCCACACTTTTGAAACTCAATTGTATAAACCTTTGTATCATTTAAAAATAAATGGGGATGAAATTAAAATCAAATGATTACCATAGTAAAAAAAATAATGAGACAAAACATTAAGTTTCCTAATAAGTTAAGATAGTTCAACTACCTGTTTTGACAGAACTAAAAATCTTTTCGTCCTTGATAACCTTCATTAGTTTGTTCAATTTGAATTGGAAGATTCTGCTCAACAAATCTGGACGATCACTTGGCGATAAATTCTCCTTCTCACAATATCTTTTAATTTCTGGCCATGCTAGATTACAAGTAAATGTGATGAAAATATCTAGATATCCAGCCTACCTACATATTGCCATTGTATCATGATAGTTGTTTATCATGTATCTAGCTCCTCCTGTAAAAGAGGAGGGAAGAATAATTCTTTTACCAGTTACAGCGGCTGCAGTTTCCCCTCTAATTAGTGCATCTGAAAGACCTTGATACAAGTTAACCCTTAATTCATGTTGATGCATACGAATAAAATCTAAACGTTAACTCTCCATCATAGCATATCCATCAACTATAAACTATTGTAAGAGCTTCCCACCATGAAGTAGCAGTGAATTTCATTGTCTCTATCCAGTCTATAGCACAAATACTCTCTTATTGAGAGAGTCTTTTTCTTTGAAGTGTTTGCTAGGCTTTCTTCACTATGTTGAACGTGAGGATTATAGCCATTATCTCTAAAAGGAAACAGTAAAGGGTATTGTAAAGGGAGATAGGACTTATGAATCTCATCTATTCTTTTCAATTGCCCATGTTTTTCAACTATTATATCATATTTCTTGTAGTTCTCATTAAAGTCTCAACTACAAGAGCTGCAACTTCTGAAGAAACTGGCAATGAGTAATTCCTTGCTTGTATATTATCTTGTCTTATCAATGCTATTTTAACTTCAACTTCAGGAAAATCTTTCAATACATCTCTTGCCATTTTGTACTTCTTAACCAAAGCATTTTTTGAATCCAAAATCTGTTTGATGTAAGAAACTATGAATGGATCGAGTTTATCCTGTCTTCAATTTTTACTACAGGAAACAATGCATTTGATTAAGAAGAGTTTGTAAGTTAAAGAGATTAATGAGTAAGAAATAATTGTATAACATAATACCTCACAGCATTGATTCTATTTGTAATTTCATTATCTATATCATAGATATACAGCTGTGAATAAGCTAGAGGAGCACCAAGTAAAGGTACAAGACTTCCTAGACGGTGGTAATTTTGGCCAGTAAGAACAAAAGTGTAAGGTCCTCTACCATTATTTAAACCATGATTAATCTGACCCCCTATTGAAGTGAAACAAAACATATTGTTATATAATCTGATATTCTTATGAAAGGATTTGAAATATGGAAAATCTTTGTCAAACTAAAGCTTCTGTAGCTCCATTGGTAGGTCTTTAAAGTTTTGAACTTGAACTTTACCATGACAGTAGCACATTGAAAAGATAGAATTGGATTTAGTTTATGCATACTTTAGTCGCTTAGGAAACCACATTTTTGCTTTACAATGTTCACATTAATATAGTAGCATCTCCATCATCCAAGTACACTAACACAAGTGGAAATTGGATTAGTGAGACAGAAATCATCTTTAAAATAACCTACGTAATTATGACAATCTATAATGGGTAAAAATTGAATATATAATACCTGAAATTTGATTTGTGTGAGGGTCAGGATTTTGTTCATACAATTCTTCAATAATAGTAATGTCTTTGGTAACTGCAAAAGAATTCACTATCAAAATGGAATTGATAAGAATACTAAAAATATTATAGCATTGTTTAACATCCTTTATTATATTTATCAAGGATAAATATCATTTGCTTGGATATTAAAGTATGCAAAAGAAAAGAAATAAACGAAATTCAAACCTGGTAAGTAGGCAGAATTGAAACTTTCATTAAGATTAGTTGAAATAGCTCTAACCGGGTATGGAATATGTGCTTTGGAGTTATACGTGGATTGCAAATTTTGAGTAATGATAGTATTTTTACAGATGACATGGTTCTGAACAATAGGATTTGAATTCTCTTTATGTGGATATGAAGTAATTGGATAATGGAAAGTATTAGGATTAATGTGTTTTAATTTGAAGGAAGAACCTGCTGAATGTTGGAAATTTGATTTGCTCTTACTTGTATTGCAATCAGATTCTGTATGGACAAAGAAAAATACAAGATATATGATTAATATTGATATTGATATTAATTTCATGATTTGTAAAAATATCATTCCATATAAAATAGATATATGGACAGAATATTAACCATTATGTATCACTTTCAATGATGTTCTACTCATTGTTGGTGACAGAAAGTGGAAAGGGACAGTAGGATTATGGAATGATATTGTTGAGCCGATCGAACTTGCAAGTTGATTAACAAATGGATTTGATCTTATGACATTTGGAGCTTTCGCATATTGGTTCTTAGTAGACTGAGAATCTAAAAGACAAAGAAAACTTGTTAAGAACTTAGAATTAAAAAATATTTAGGCCATGGAATTAAGGACAATATAATATTAGTTGAGGATGTTTTACCTTCATTAGCATCATTAAGTTGCTCATAAAATAATTCTATGATCTAAAGATTTCATCAACCTAGCTGCTTTCCTCATTTGAATGACTGAGTTTCTACCTTTAACTTTCATTGGTTGTGCAGTAGCTAAATACAAAAATATTTAATTTTATGTAATTAAAATTTAAACTTAACATCTAGTGGATTTAATCTTTATGCTATTGAGAAGTTATCAAGTAATTTATAAGAAAAATATTATCATCGTTTGGTATCTCTTTAAATGGAGTTCTAATCAAATCTTTTGTCATTTCTTGAGTAGAAGCTGTATAAGTGTCTAGAATGTCAGTGTTGAGGCAAATGGACTTGTAAATTGATTTTCTGCATAACCCTTCCTTATAGTGAGAGGCCCTGAAGAAGGCATAAACCATGACATGAATAAAAAATAATACAGTCATAAGGCTTGAAAAATAAGTATAACATCTTTTTTCAAATAGATATGTTACCATTGTCAGTAGCAATATTTTGATGACTAACATTTGCTTTAACAGTTTTTGAAATAACCCCTGCTTTCCTCTTTTGAAGGATTGACTCCATATTTGATTCACTCTCATCACTTTTATCTACTGAAGGCAAAAATTGAAGAATATTGGATGTAATAATACATCTTATAGTTTAAAGATATCATATATTACTATCTGATGAACTATAGTTGAAAACTTAAATTTTACTGTGAGAAAGTTTGTACACATCATTCATATAAACACATGCTGATGACAACCTAACTGCTTCTTGGAAGGATTTACAGACTTTCCATAAACTTTTATATCAGATCAAAATAATGAAATTCATTCAGTCAAGGAAGAGAGATAAAAAATAATCATCATGATATTATGATAGTAGACTAAATATAATACTAAATTATAAGTTTCAAAGTGAAGCATAAATCTGAATGAAAGTATATAAGGAAACAGAGGAGACAAAAGAGAAGGGATAAAAACCACTTAAATTGTTCCATTCTTGTTTGCTACTATTGTGAGAAGAAGGAAGAATATGAGATTTGATCAAGAG